TGTGTAGGCAAGGGATTATTTGTGTAGGCAAGGATTGTTTGTGTAGATCAGGAATGAGGGGTGTAGGTCATGGGGATGGTTCATGACAATAGCGGGCCTTGCGGCTTGCTGCACTATGTTATTTCTGCTATGTTAGTAGTGGGTTTTGTGGGTCAGCTCAACTAGGAAACTTTGCTCATGTGGACAGTTATGTGAATGAAGATCACATGTGCATTTCTCCTTTTTATTTCACTGCCATTCTCTGCAAATTGTTTTGTGCATCGGGTAGTTAGTCATGGATATGTGTCATTGTAATTTTTGCATAATAAGCTCACTTTGTCTAGCAAGGTTGAGTTGCATAAACATTAATATTTTTTGCAACACATGTAGAACATAACATAGTGCAGCAAGCTAGGGCAGCAAGCCACATGGCCTGTTATACCCCATTTCAACTGTTTGTTTTGTTTTATGTTGAATCCCAGTCTGTTTATACTTATAATAATGTTACATACATTGAATAACACTGCTCATCACTTGGCCTTTGGTACATAGACCTCACATTATTCTCAATCTGATCCTTTTATTTTTGCTTCTTCCTGAGAGCTCAGTGAACATCTAACTTGTGCAAAAGGGCCACTGCTCGTCACCTGCCCTTTGGCCGGCTCCTCACAGCAGCATGCCATGTTTGCAAAAGAGTGCATTTGTCCCAATCTTTATGAGGGCCAGCACTAAGGTCACATGAACAAATGATGACTAAGCATAAGTCAATAGAAATGAATGGAAAGTGGAAAATATAATAGTACAATGGAGTTGAATCTCTTGGGGAGCTCAATCCTATATTACAATAAACATGTCAGGTCAACTGATTTGCAGGTGTCAGATGTATGATTAATTTAGTAGACTCACCTGAGTAAATTTCCTATATCTCAATAACCAAAATGTGTGATTCCCAGAATTGGGGTTCACAGCATGGTACACTGTTGAATCTCTGATTCCTCAATCATTCTGCAATATGAATACAATGTAGTTGAAAGGTGAAGACAAACAGATTCAGCAAGGAATGTGCTTGGAGGTGAAGTCTCAGTAGAGCAGAGACCTTGAATCAGAATCTGTGCTGGTTTCTTCTTAGGATACTTGCCCAAGGCAGTAAGGAATAATTTCAATGATGTCAGTACTGTGTACTTCCTTCTTTGGTGCATTGTGACTTTTAGCAGCCATAGCTGTTTGAAATTTTCAAAATATGTGATGAACAATGTTGTTTGAACAGTTTGAGTATACCCATGCTAGATATATACAATGATAAACTTGCAATATTGTGAGTCAGATCTATTGTAGATCCTACTAAACATCCAAATAAGAATTCATAATATGAGAAATGTTGAAACATTGCAATACCTTTCTCTTCAATTTTTTGGAAAATCTACTGTCAATTTTGGAAAAATGGTGAACTAATATTATGAACATGTAAATTAACTAGACCCTAGAGTAGATGAGATTCACCTTTTTTCTTTGATTCAGTTTCTGAAGTATTTGTATTAGCTTGAGATTGAAATTCTGCAAGTAATTCCACTGCTTTGACTGTTTTTGGATGTTCCTCTCCAAAAATCTTCTTCCTTGTGTCTACAACTTGGACTTCCAGTCTGGCTGCATCTGTGTATTTTCGTAGATAGTAAAATGTTATTGCAAGATTTTCCATTCCATCAATTGTATCAGGGTGTTCTTCTCCAAGAAGTCTGTTTCTTAGACCTAGAACTTTGATTTGGAGCTTCTCTGCATCTGAAAAATTTCCAAGACTCTCATATGTAGCTGCAAGAATAGCCATTGCAGCAATTGTATCTGGGTGTTCTTCTCCAAGAAGTCTGTTTCTCCTACCAAGTACTTGGATTTTGAGCTTCTCTGCATCTGCAAATTTTCCTAGACTCATGTATGAAACTGCAAGATTACCCATAGCAGTGATTGTGTCTGGGTGTTCTTCTCCAAGCAGTCTGTTTTTCATATCCAGAACTTTGATTTGTAGTTTCTCTGCATCTGAATGTTTTCCTAGACTGCCATATGTAGTTGCAAGGTTAGCCATGGCCCTTATTGTATCAGGGTGTTCTTCTCCAAGAAGACTGTTTCTTAGCTCTAGAACTTTGATTTCAAGTTTCTCTGCATCTCCACATTTTCCTAGACTCCAATATGAAATTGCAAGATGACTCATGGCTCCAATTGTATCTGGGTGATCTTCTCCAAGAAGTCTCTTTCTCATATCTAGAACTTTGATTTCAAGCTTCTCTGCATCTGCATATTTTCCTAAACTCATGTATGAAACTGCAAGATTGCCCATGGCAGTGATTGTGTCTGCATGCTCTTCCCCAAATAGTCTATTTCTCATATCTAAAACTTGAATTTTTAGCTTTTCTGCATCTGCATATTTTCCTAGACTCTCATATGTACTTGCAAGGCTATTGATGGCACCAATTGTATCTGGGTGCTCTTGCCCAAGTAGTTTGTTTCTCATATTCAAAACTTCAATTTCAAGCTTCTCTGCATCTCCATATTTTCCTAAACTCTGGTATGTACATGCAAGATCACCCATGGCTCTGATTGTATCAGGGTGCTCCTCACCAAGAGTTCTCCTTCTTGCATCCAGCACTAAAATTTGAATCTTCTTTGCCTCAATGTCATACCCCTGCTCCCTTAACATTTTCCCAATTTTTTCATGAGCATCATCAAAGTATTTATCAACCATTTCCTTCTTTGTCATTACACTGTGCTGTATATTGGCCCTCAAATGAGTGAACAAAATTCTTCTGAACTGATATGGCTGGTCATTGAAGTCTTCTGGCAGAGAGCAAGCTAACAATCCATATGCCATCAAACAATATTTCTGCCTATCTTCTGATGACATTCTGTCTCTTACCCATGCATGAATAAGTGGATGCATGGTATAGATACCTTTGGATGAAACCAGTTTGATCAGGCTAAAAGACAGTAATACCCGAATTCCCTCTTTGAAGATGAAATTATCCCATTTTCCTGTGCTGTGAACCTGAAGCAGTGTGCGGTCTATAATGGAGCTTGCAAGAGGCAAGTCAGACCTCTGCTCATCATCTCCATATTCCTCATACTGTTGAGTAGCTGCATAAGAAAAGATTTCTTCAGTAATACCATCAAAATGAAAGAAGGCAAAGATTGCCAGAAGAAACATTGCACTCTTAGCTGCCTCAGCTCTTTGAGAATCATCACTTTTAGCCCTTTGCTGAATTTCTTTCAATGATAGCTCCCAAGTCCCATACACAGTTCTGTTATATTTAGATGCCCCTTTGAAAGCTGGGTAAGATAATAATCTTTCTCTGTATAGAGAATATACATCAAGATAGTCTCTGATGTCTGTGTTTCCAAAAGCAATGAAAGCACCAGCCTGATCAATAGCCAGAGGAATGCAAAAAAGCTCATTCACAATCTTGGAAGCCTCAGCTTGTAAATTTTCCTGAGACTCACTCAAGAAAGCAGCCTTTAAGAGTAAAGAGATGGCATCACTTTCTTCCATCTCTTTCACCTCAAGAGAACTCTCATGTAAAGTCAAATGTTTTAGGCCAGAGTTGCGACTAGTTATCAGAATATTCCCTCTTAGCCCAGATGGAAAATATTGCTCCAGCTCCCCAGGTGTCAGATTATCAGCATTATCAAAGACCATTGCATAGTTTTCTCTCAGAGAGCTAATCCACCATAAAGCAGATTGAGGTGAACCATCCAGTGCAGAAGACTGAGCCTCAGGAAGGTTGCAGATTCCCTTCAGTCCCTGTGTGATTGTACTAATTGAAGATGCATCAATCCAGAAAACATGGGAAAAACTGGGAACCAATCAGAAACAGGGACTAAGTAGGATGAGGGAGTACGTACTAGTCAGACATATCCTCAATGAACCTCAAACAAATTTGAGTCTTCCCAATACCCCCCATGCCATACAACAAAAAGAATTTTCGACGGCGGAGTTTATTGTTGCTTTCAGCAGTAAAATGTTCCTTCAGTTTTGCGAGAACGTCGGTCCGTCCTGTGAACCGAATACTTGAGTTTGGTTTTTCGGGAATTGCTGCATCGGATGTCGATTTGTTGCCAGCGCTAGTGCTATCAATTGATTGGCTTGTGATCAGAGGTATTATCGGACAGAGAGCTTCACTTACAGTTTCGGCAGCCATGAATGTGCCGCCTCTTATAACGATGTTCTGAGCACCTTGGAGGACGTGATTTTCACTCATGTTGGACGTGTAGCAGGTGTGGGCGAAGGAAAGAAGCGAGTGCCGAGGACTTGGATGCAACAAACGCCACACGTTGACCATGAGGCATCTTTCGCGTTTTGCCGGGGCATTCAAGCGCTCACTTCGCACAGCTCAACATTTTGTCACCTGCCCCACTGGGCGTTCCGAACCCGGTTCAGAGAGGCGTAAACGTTTCTGCGCAGGGTATCACTGCGCTATCACTCATCAGCACCGCCTCCTCTTCGTTCTTCCCTTCCCTGAGTTGTCTACTCCCATCTGAGAACGTGCTAACAACTCTTCAGAGCAGTCAATCAATTCTTCCGTCTCCACCTGGACGTGGCCCCACCCCTCACCTTGAACAGCCGCGGGGACTCCGCACGGCGCGTCTCCGACCGTCTCTCATAGCCCCATGCACAAGTACTGGACGAAACCCTATAAAATTAAAAGGAAAGGACGCGTGTTCAATACAAGTGAACAGAATTCTCATTTCTGCAAGTCAAGCATAAGTCAAGTAGAATATGCATATACAAAGTAGAAAGACACTGGTTATTACATCCTGTCAACTTCGGAATAGGCCTTCGAGGGCTTCGGGGGACGTAAAAAAGCGGTGCCCTAGACTCTGCGGGTCAGGGCTTGAAGCTTGAAGGCATTACACCCTACAAAAGAATAGGCCTTTGAAGGCTTCGGGGGACGTGAAAGCCGGTGCCCTAGGTGGTACTCGAACGTCGCGGTTCGGACACTTAAACTCAAACAGCGCGGTAGTTCTTCGCATTAGAGGGTATGCAAAGGGTAAGTCGAAAAGTATGCGAAATCCATCAGTCTGCTCACCCACCAATGATGTTAGCCAAACAGTCCAATCTCCTTGCTCGACCTTTTCTCCCTCGCCCTCCAAGCGATTCATCAAGTTGCGTCTGCACAACACCAGGTTCCATTCGACCAATTCTTGACCACAGTCAAGGCAGCAAGCTTCCCACGATGGAAGCACAGCGCTGTCGACGATGTCGATGAGCAATCATTCAACCAGATAAAGGCCCACATTCTCGACATGTACAGCGGCGTTGGGAATGTCGCTCATTCTTTCTTGCATGACGACCGCTATGCCGACTGTATCGACATCAATAAGCAGCCATCTCTTGCAGGTCGTCTGCTCGCAACCGCACCAGAGGCTCCGTAGAATGAACCTCCGTGCTCACCATGAGGACCTACGGGGTCAGGAACCCCAGTCGTATCCCCTCTGACACAAAACCTGAAAGATCCGTTCGGCAACGATATATCTTGTCCTGAAGGAACCATTCCATTCGCTCGCCTGACATTCGAGCGGATAGCCACCTACCCCACGTTTGCCGCTTTCGCCAGTCCTGTCAGAGATTTCAGCATCTCCCAGCAGTGGTACGTAAGCAGGTCCGGAAAAAGCCTTCAAACGGCCGAAGGGGGGTGGATGGCCATCCTCCCGCAGCACTTCAGTACACAGGCGGCAGTGCTCTTCATCTTCTGGACATCCAACGCGTACTCTACGGGCTGTTTCAGCCCGGAGTGCAAAGCCTTCGTGCAGACCAACAACAACTGGCACCTCGGAGGGACTTTCGGCCAGTACAGCGTTACGGGTGGTGATCAGAAAGGTTTCGACCTGCAGTGGAAACGTTAACAGGGCAATTGGTGGTTGGATCTCAGGGGTGCGGGCGCAGCCCGGGTATTACCCCGGCTCGATCCACAACAGAGGACAGCTTACCAAGAATGCGGAACTCATCGAGTATGGCGGCGAAGTTTTGAGGTTCACTGCGACAGGTGTCTGGCCGCAGATGGGTAGCGGAGTGTTCCCGGACAAACAGGCTGCTTACCAGAACACCATCTATGACAACCCGCCCGACGTGAATGCTAGCGTTGGTGTTTGGTCAGACTTGACAAAGGTCGATATAGGCAGCCGCAGCTGCTGGGATATCAACAATACAAAGTTAGCTCAGGGAGGCGATTGGGGTACTTTCTTCTTCAGTGGGCCAGGTGGCAACAGGTGCTGATCTCTTCTCTCTGTATCTACTATCTCAAAATGTGTTTCGACCGTCTGTGCAGTCAAATAAGTTCTCGTGAAGAAATATGCAGCAGTCCTGAACTGACCTGACCTGCCTAAAATTGAGCACCTTTTAACAAGCACAATTAGAAAGAGCCATGGATGTCGTAAAGAGCACCTTGACGATGCTGTGCCATGGCAATTCTTTAAGTATCTGTGAATTGAGACGACAGGAAATGGATGGTCAACAAACAAGTGTCTTATGGCAGCCTTGCCCAAGTGGCCGATTGGACTCCTGTCTTAGCGGACTTGCGAAGACCTCCATCACATAGTGATGGAACGGAATGAAGTTCCAAAAAGGTAGGAAGTAAGAGTATATATTATGGGTACTAAAAACGCCATCAGCAGAAGACGTCGGCTGGGCAGGGAGACGTACAATAGGTTGATATTTATACGTCAATAAGCTGAGTCGGCCACATTTTTAGTCGATGAGTTTTTCACTAGTCTCCCCTCCGGTCCACCCATACGGTCACACACTGCTAGAGCATCACGATGGAATGCTTCGTGCAGTGCACCCTTCACCAGCATACATGGCAGCAGTCGTGTATGGAACACCCTGTGTGCCACGGAGCCCCCCTAACGGAATACATCGTTCAGAGCATCAAAAGGGTAGAAGAGCAGGACTTACAAACTGGGAAAATATGCCGCCCATCACTGCTGTTACCGCGTCTCCCTGAACCTTATATAGCCCGACCTTCCGCAGGTCGGGTGAGTCAGAGACTTGCTCGCGAACCTCCGGAGCGATGGCAGGTACCCATCGCAAAGTGCGACCGAGGCCCCATTTTGACCCTACGTGTTCCCCCAGAGCGTAAGTGTGAAGTGTGTGGTAGGCGATGTTCTCCAAGTCGTGCTCGGGTGTGAGGGCCGAGCTTGAGGTTAAGAAAAGGTGAAGGTAAGAGTCAAGAACACGGCGACCTGTGGGCAATAAGTCTTATTAGATCACACGACCTCGACCTGGAACGTGCTCGTGGCGTACCGATGAAGCTTAAACTTGCGTTATGCCCGTTCGTCGCTGTTTGATGACTGGCATGCGTAAGTATACGACGAGCGAGTTCTGAAGGGAATTGGAGTCCAGGGAATACGCCGTTCAAATGGTCCGAGAACTTCGATCCAGACCGCACCTCTGGCCTACCTGTTACAGGCCTTGAAGCCACAGGAGGGACCCTAGAATTCACGGAGAGCAAGGACTTTACAGAGCGGGCTGGACGCGACATGGTGGGGAGGAGATACGATCGTCGTCACTGTTGGGATGCGGGACTAAGAAAAAGTTTAAAGTCACGTGGGACACTCTATTTTAGGGCTGGTTTTTTCAAATTGGCCCTTTGAACTTCTTGTCGCGATAACTCGTCTCACGGGCTACCGATTTCTACCAATCAGCCACATATGACGACCTCAGTTGAGTCAAAACTCCCATTTTTCGATTTCTCTGCCATTGCAGTAGAATATGAAATACGTACCGACACTTCCTGTGACTCGGCGCGCGGTTCAACGTAGATTGCATTCGGGACGCGTTTTCGCGTTGAGGCCCGTGTACTGTCAGTTAGACTTGGAACCAATTATTTTCTCAGCCTCTTTTGACCAGAAGAGGTTTCAAGCTAACAACGGATGGACGCACCTCACCTTCTTGCCGTTGTGGAATGACACTTGACCTACATCTATATCCCCCGTTTTCTAACCTTTGACTATAAGAAAGCTCTTCGCCGCTAATGAAAACAAACGAACCCACCTTCAAGTTGTGACCTGGTGTATAGATGATTGTTAAGTTATCCTTTTGTTTGCTTTTTGTTGCCTGATCATTTTTATCGAGAAGGGTTTAACAAGATGTTCTAGTTACATACCTTCCACCGAATCAGCTTTCACTGACAGAGCACAGTCTGTCAAGAGCGCTGCGGGAATACTCCAAGCTATTCCGTCGGGCATTCGTAAATAGACATGGGCTGATGATATTTTGTCGACATGGTTCCAGATGTCCTGGGCCAAGCGTATCTAATGAGCTCCTCATCTGGCTTGATTGGTTAGGTATTGGGTTAGCACTGGCATCAAATCAATCTACCTGCTTCGATGCCAGGATACAGCAAGGTAGGTTCGTTTGGTTGGTCTGCATGATTTTATTATTTAATCATCCCCCTTGAAAATTTCTGAACAGATTTCTAACGATTAGGCAGCGCAATTGAAATTGGGGTTGTTCTGGTAGTGTTTCCGTCAGATCATTGAGCGCGGAGTTTAAGTCACCCACAGTGGCAAACTATCAGAATCGACCAAAGTTTGTTGCCTCCCTTTGTTTGCTCTTTCATCCTGGATATTCGTAATCCCTTCCGATCTTCTTCATGGACACCCATACCCACAACCTTTCCATAACGGATCGAATTATGAATGCTTCTTTTCTGAAATGCGACCTCCGGCCCTGTTAAGCTCAGCCTCCTCGTCACTCTATAAAAGGTGGTCCTGTGAAGTCGCAGCAAGCAGTCACTCTCATCTGCATCTCAATTCCCTACTCTCGCGACTGCCACATCTTAGACGGTTACTTACCACTCGTTATAAACACATCATGGCTAGCACAATCAGTCTTCACCTCTCTCCCGCCTCTGGCAGCTTTCCGTTCCAACCGAAGCAATTAAAGCTAGGCGACAAACGGGTCGTACTTGGGATCGAGATACCTAATGACCCAGCACATACATCGTCCTCTTCCAATGGATGGTTCGCCGTAGTGCGGACCGGGATATCGCCTTTGCCCGTGAGCACATCACATGCTGAAGTCTGGCTGAGTGGGAGTAAGGTTAGCATCCTTTTGTCTTTCTTTACCCCGCGGAGACACTGACCTATTGTATTTTTCTCCATCAGGTATACATTCGTGACACGGATTCACCCTTTGGCACGTTTGTGAATGGCGTGAAGATCACGACAGATACCCTTCTTCGTCAGGGAGATGTCCTTGTATGTTTAGATCGAGCAGTCCTTCAGTTTCCGGGCACTTACCCACTATCATTTAGAGTCTTGGAAGTCCTGTCCAACGTAATAGCCAAACTCCTGCCTATATCACCGACGACCACCTTAAACCCATCATCGCAAAGATAGCGCTTGTCATTGGGTTGTCAGGGTGGTGAGGCCCACCGGGAAAATTCGTTCCGAGCGGTCTATGCATTGTCCATCGGTCTTTGATGTTTTCAAGCACCCCCATTGTACATTTAGAAGGGCAAATTTATCTTTAGTCTCGATGTGGAAAATACCACTACTGTCATTCGTCGAGATATGAAATTCGGCAAAACGATCAACGGTCGAGTATGCCCGATCCGCCAAGGCACACCATAAACGATCTTAACTGCCTAACGAAAGCCGAATTCAGCAAAGGGAACATTCTTCAACAGATTTCCATCGGTGCAGCTCCAGCCTCATGTCATCTCCACTTGCCTGAATGAAGACATTAAATCCTAGCCAACTTGTTGGTTCGACAAGTGTCAACTTGCTGCCAGCGAACTCAGGCTCAGCTCGATGATCCGTTTGTCGTCGTCTTGCAAGTTCCCAAAAAAAGTTATTGTGCTAAGATGGTGGAGTCGGGACTTCGGAGTAGTACATCCAGTCTGTTATATAATTATCAATGACTGCATACATAGAAGGGATCGTCGACTAGGACAAGTAAAGGTAAATGAATTTTCAAGGCCAGCGGTTAATAGGACATACCTATCAATATCATGAATTGTCGTCCCGGACTCCCAATTGACTGATGAGGGTTTCTCCAACAAGATTATTCATCTCCCGGAGAAGCACTGCGCATGCGACCTCATAATGAAATGATCAGAACCGGGCCTGCGAAGTCCTCCATCCTGGAGTCAGTAGTGGATGTGGGTCAAGATGTTCCCTGTTAACGTAAAATATCCACACGCCAAACTACTGCGCAGGCAAACAAGAAACTCGCCGCTGATGAACGGGAAAAACTGTGATCCCTGGGCGTCCGAAGCGGGCTGGTGGTCAACGACTTCCTGGACGCTCAAGAGAGTAGCAATGTTGTGTACCCACATGACGTCGATTCGGAGTCCAAAGCAGGTCAGCAGCAGCAGCAAGGAAGCCCCAAGAAAAACAAGGTCAAAGAGACAATGCCACTAGCTGAGAGGTCTCATGAGTAAACATCGGGACAATAGCTTTTGACGAAAGATGGATTCGCCGAGATCGCACACGCAGCTAGCCTTAAGGTGCAGGGCCCGAGGCTCGAGGATACACCTACTTAGGGTGATCACGGCGGAACCGGGTGAGCAAAGACAAGAATCTACGGTAGCGTGGCCAAAGCCTTACACGAGGGAAGTCAGAGATGGGTAAGTGCTACTCCTGGGAAATGGGCGAGTCAAAGATATAGAAGAAAGTCACATCTTTTCTTGACTGTAAGTGGGAAAAGTGTCTTCAAAATTACGATCGATTAGTTGTGGACGGTTTTCGACGTTTGCACCCTAACCCAAGTTGGGCGTAGCCAGTTGAGGACCGAGAAACGTGCGGAGACTCGGACGAGCTTTGCGTACCTTAACACCCCGGGACTGGGATCATTAGGATTTAGTCAAGATACACCCATAGGCGACACCAAGTCAGCGTCAAAGGGGGAGCGCTTAGGCAGAAAGTGGGCACAAGAAGGCATGTATATGACTATCATAGGAATGCTACATAGCGGTACATAGCTGTAGGACGACAAGGTAAGGAATATGTAGAATCTCTGGTAAGGAACTTCACTCCAGTTCAGCGATAACTGAAAGCCAATGGCGAGAGTGCGCTCCAGCTGAGACACTTCGTCCCTCTAGGGAAAGCGGTAGACTCCTGCGAGAAGAGGGTAGAAATCGCAGGGGGACAATAAAGCGAACCCGAAATGAGTGAAGAGACGAAGAAAAAATTTCGCTGCTTATATACTGAACGGCACGTGATATGGTTTGTTCGTGTTTGGGTTCATTGGGAACAGCTACTGTTTCTCAGAGTCAATATCCAAACGATTAGTACTTTTTTTTACGTATCTAAAGCAAATATAATAATACAAGCATGGAGGGATCATAATAAGTGTGTCTACTAGTATAATTTATCACCAGGATCCATCTCGAGACCCCCGTCGTTCACCAGTCTGTCGGCGACCTCCTCCACGGTCCTCATGTCGATTATCACGTTGGTAGCTAGAACCACCTTCACGTCGGGAGCCGCCAAACGAGGAGCCCTCACGACGGGGACCGCCAAAGGAGGAACCCTCACGACGGGGGCCGCCAAATGAGGAACCTTCACGTCGCGCGCCACCAAACGAGGAACCTTCACGACGGGGATAGTTTTCACGGGGGAAATCACGACGGGGTGCAGCAAACTCATCGCGGCGGGTTGGGGCACCAGGAGCCTGGTTGAGCGAATCAAACCGATCTCTGGAGGCAAAAGAACCACGGCCCTCGCGGGTTGGAGCATGGTCGAACGAATCAGACCGGTTTCTGGAGGCAGAAGAACCACGGCCCTCCCAAGGACGCCGACTGCTACTGCGCTCGCCGCCGTACCCCCCAGCACTCCTGTCACCACCAGACCGATCACGCGAGAACCCTCCATCTCTAGGACTGCTCGCCCACTCGGGTTTCACAAATCTTTCTCTGGGAGGAGGCCGACGAGAACCATCACCCGACAATATACTGCTGGGTATATGTGGTGGCCTAGAGGCTCCGCCAGCTTCCATAGCCCAAGCCTGTATCCCTTCAAGGATGGTCATTTTGGATGTGCGCAGCTCAGAGACTTTGCCAGCGTAGAAGCCCATCATAGCCACGGCCGCTTGGATGACTTGTTCTTCGTCGAGCTTCATGACGAGGTCTGAGACACTCTTGTCGATTTCTTCAACAAGCGCTGCCGTTGGGGTGTTGAATGACCGTGGGCCAACAATAGGGACGTATTCGCGGCGGCCTCTATCCTTCTTGAAAGACGGAGGGGCGGGGGGAGCGGGTGGGAAGAACGATGCAGGGTTCTCGTCGAACTTGGCAGCGAGTTCTTTTGTTTGCGAGGTGAGTTCAGCAACGGTGACGGGTTTTAGTGGAATGTGGCTAAGGGTCCTGGAGACGTAACCCATCTCCCATGGCAGGAGGATGAGATCCCCACGGCCTTTGGTTGCCCCAGCACGGCCTGTACGACCAATGCGGTGAACATATTGTTCGGGAGTGGAAGGAATGCCGACTTGGATAACGCGAGTAACTCCAGGATAATCTACGCCTCGGGCAGAAACATCCGAGGTGACAAGAACGCATGCTCCAGAGGTATCAGCCCGGAAGTTTTTGTTGGTCGTACTGCGCTGGTTCATGTTCCTCTTCGAGTGGATTTCGTAAACCCGTGTTCGGGCTGGCAAGGAATCCCGTCCAACTTCACGAAGAATGTCGCTGAATAGCTCGGTGACCTTCGTGGTGGGCAGAAATACGATGATTTTTGAACTACCCGGGTGTGTCAGTTGATCGTGCGCAATGGTGCGGAGGATGTGAGAGATCTGTTGATTTGCGGCAGGCAGGATGGTGTGGTACTGAGGGATGTGTGCGTGTACTGGCGACGTGTCCTCCGAAACACAGTTGATATAGATATGGTTCTTCGCCAAAGAGGCTCGGGCAATTTCTCGAATATTTGCACCGAGGGTAGCAGAGAACAAAAATGTCTGTCGCTGAGGTGTGGGGGGAAGGCAATCCCTGATCATTTCAATGTCATCCCTGAATCCAAACTCGAGCAAGGTGTCAGCTTCATCAAGGATTAGCTGCCAACGTGTAAGTAAATGAAACATCAATGCCATCGAAGAGAACTCACAATTTCAGCACGCGAGATCGGACCTGAAACAGAAGGTTCTGATTCCAAAAAGTCCCTCATGCGTCCTGGCGTGGTAACCACAATGTCTCTGCGTCCCTTTCTCCAGCTATAGAGTTGATTAGACTTTGATTCTCCGCCGACGAATAGTTTAACCTCGAAACCAGGGTGGTGGCTCGTGAGCTTCATAGCCTCAGTAGCGATCTGAGACGCCAGTTCACGAGTGGGGCTGATAATGAGAGTTCCGACTGTGTCCGTTGCATGAGCGCGAATCGCTTCCCTGCGAAGTTTCGCAGAGTCTGGGAGACCGCTGTCCGGAACAACCTTATTTGCATGGGCCTCGAGAGACTTGAGACGAGCTTCAATTGCAGGGATGAGGAAAGCCATGGTTTTGCCCGTTCCTGTCCTAGCTTTGACAAGGAGGTCGCGTGGCTGATCATTTCCAGAATCGGGGCTGTAAGGTTCCGCAAGTTGTGGGAGAAGGGGGAAGACTTCGGCTTGGACAACCGACATGTGAGTATGGTGGAAAGGTCCGTTGGTGATGGCTTGAAGGGTGCGGTCATTGATAGCGCCCTTCAATTCAGAAAAACGTGGGGATTCATTGACTGGCTTAGCAACGTCTGGAGTATCAGACACGGCGGCGGCAGCTGCTGACGACGACCGTGACAATCGCGGGTGGATAGCTGAAAACTGTTGAAAATTTGCGTAGAATACAAGTACAAGTTGAACGTACCATGATTCCGAGAAGCAAGGGCAACAAATGAGCGACGAAGTATGGGAACAGAACGAACTGCTCGTGTGTGGGTGAAAGCGCAGGTTCTGGCGACCTGGGCCCAGAATGGGGAAGCCATGGTGAGCTCGTAGAAGCCCAGCAAAAGGATACTTCAACCTTCCAGAGAAAAGGCAGAGTTTCCGTCTTTTGTGTGTCGTGGACTGTCGTCGTCGTGTCTAAAAGCCGTGTCCAAAAATTTCCGTTGCAAATACGGCCACGGACCCTTGCCACCGATTTCCCGATCAGGACGGTGGGACTCTTGACACCTCATTGGTTCGCATCAAGGTCGCGTCATCATAAAGCAAGATCCCTTTTTTTTACAGAGAAGAAGATAGATGATAGGTGAGAGACTTTGAATGGGATTCTCTCTTTCTTTTTCACGAAAGTGGCACAGATTGTTTCGCTTGGTGGTCAAAATCACACGGGCCTAAACTTTCAACCGCACTTCTCCTTGAGTAGACTGCTAGATCTTACCGCAAATGCTCAAAGTTGTAGCAACAACCTCAACAGACCGTACTCAATAAAGGACTCTGCACGCGTCAGCGCTCAGTCTGCCTAGCCTACAGGTGTTTGGCCAGATTGACGACTTGACTCCAAGTCATGTTGCGATGCTTGATTCGATGAACACGGACTCCAAATTCCATCGCATCGTGATGGTGTGATTTAAATCGAGCCCCGCCAGCTTATAAACAAGAAGACAACGTGGTTCTTGCAACAACTTACCCTCCCATCTTCGAATGTCCGCTCCAGCCCCCATTACCCACTTCACCGGTACGCAGGTCGCCATTGTCACAGGCGCTGCCCAAGGTATAGGCAGAGCCATCGCCTTACGCCTCGCCGAAGATGGCCTCGATATTTGTGTGGACGACCTCCCTTCGAAAATTGACCTCTTGAATGAAGTCGTCGCTGAAATAAAGCAGCTGGGTAGAAAGGCAATCGCCCTTCCTTGCGACGTAACCAAAGAACAAGAGGTCAAGGATCTGGTAGAAAAGACAGTGGCTCAGCTCGGAAGACTGGATGTGGTGGGTGTCGTACTTTTGGTATTATCCTGTGATGAGTCTCCTAATTTGCCCGCTTAAATCACACCTTTAAGATGGTCGCAAATGCCGGAATCGCGTTCCCAAGCAGCATCATGGAAGGTATTCCAGCTTTGAAGCTACCCTGCGTATTTTATTTTACGTCCGCACCTAGCGAATATCGATCAATGGGAGTCCATTTGGGCGGTCAACATGCGCGGGCCAGTACTCTGCTACAAGTATTCCGCCATCCAAATGGCAAAGCAAAATTCTGGGGGCCGTATTATTGGTAAAAAAGCCACAAACATTAGGCGTTTCGATTCAAACGCCAAAATAACGTCCTTCTATAGGTGCCTCGTCAATTTGCGGATTGCAAGGTAAGTTGGGCTACTCAGCATGCACTGCAGAAAAAAATTTCGAGTCAAATTTTTATCCTCCCAAGGCTACGCCAATCTCGGAGCATATTGCATGTCAAAGGCATCAGTTCGTTCGTTAACCCAGACAGCATGTACGTGGAACGTCATTCACAACCGGACAAATTTTAACCCATATAAGCTTTGGAATTTAGCAAGTACGGAATAACAGTCAACGCATACGCGCCTGGAATCATTGAGACCGAAATGAGTATATATCCAGTGGACTCTTTAATATTCTATACTCACCTATTTTAGCAACACACCCCTTGGACAAAGACCTTGGGGAACCATGCGCTGCTCTCAAACGCGTTTGTCTCCCCCCTATCCTGCCCCTCCTTTCTTTTATTTATTAGCACATTTCCCCGCAGACAATGAATATTCCACATGCAAAGGTCGGTCAGCCAGAGCAGGTGGCAAGCCTCGTATCGTATCTCGCTTCTCCCGAGTCCCATTTTTTGACCGGTATGGATTTCAATTATCATCAAAATTGTGACTTAAAAGGTATCCTCAGGTCAAACAATTTCTGTTAATGGGGGCGTGGTATTCAACTAGTCATAGTTTGAATTTACGGAATAAACTCGCATCATCATGGAATGAAGCAAGATTGTCTTTCTTGGAAATCATAGAGGATAGGTGAGGGACTAAGTATATCAGATGAATATGATCATATTTCGAATCTAAACACCTCCTCACCAAATCGAATTTTCATCCCTTTGACTACTCCGAGGCTCAAGCTGTAACAACAATTTCAATCAATTGATGGGTATCGCACTTAAAAAGAGGACTCTCCACGCGGCGGTGCTCGGTTTGGTCGGTCTACCGCGAAGCTCTTCAGGCAATATAGGTGCACTGTCGTTTGCTTACCTCGCCGGAGCGCTGGATTCGAAGAGCCGGTCAGTCACACGCCAAATCACTTGACATCCTGATGGCAAGCAAGATCAAAGATCGCTTCCTGCCAGCTTATAACGAGGAAAGGAGGCGGTTCTCGCAAGTCATCCCCCATTTTTGAATGGCCACTCAAGCTCCTATTACCCACTTCACCGGTACACGCGTCGCCATCGTCACAGGTGGTGCTCAAGGTATAGGCAAGGCCATCGCATTGCGCCTCGCCGCAGACGGCTTTGATATCTGCGTGGATGATGTCGCTTCCAAGATCCATCTCTCAAAGGAAGTCGTCGCCGAAATTCAGCAACTCGGTAGAAAGGCCATCGCGCTTCCCTACGACGTTACCAAAGAACAAGAGGTTAAGGAGATGGTGGAAAAAACAGTGGCGGAGCTTGGAAGACTAGACGTGGTGACCTACTTGTGGACAATTCCTGTTACCTTTTCTCTGATAAATTTACCTCCTCAAGATGGTTGCAAATGCTGGAATCATACAAGATCATTTGAACAGCGTCATGGAAGGTATTCGAACTTGCATTTTACCTACGCATTTTCTTGACCGTCCGATATCCAGCAAATATCGACGAATGGGAGTCTATTTGGGCAGTCAACGTGCGCGGCACGGTGCTCTGCTATAAGTACGCCGCCATCCAAATGGTGAAGCAAAATCCTGGAGGGCGTCTCATCGGTAACTTTCAACCATTGACCCTAAAGTTGCGAGTCTCCGTTATAATTTTAAAACAAATATCACTAGGTGCCTCCTCGATCTGTGGATTGCAAGGTGAGTTACTCCGCACACGAAACGGACGATCGCTACAATTTTTATTCTCCTTAAGGCTTCGCCAACGCTGGAGCGTACTGCATGTCCAAGGCGTCAGTTCGTTCGCTAACTCAAACAGCATGTATGTGTGACGCCCCCAATTGGCGAGCTGACTTTAACCAATCCCCATGACGCAGCGTTGGAGTTGAACAAACACAAGATAACCGTCAACGCGTACGCACCTGGAGTCATCGAGACCCAGATGAGTACATATAGTCACTGCAGACTCTGTAAATTGTTTGACGTATCAACTCCATCAGCAAGATCACAAATTGGTTGGGACGGCTTGGGACGCTTGGCCAAGGCCGCCAACTTCGCCAAGCTGCCAAGCTCGATCCGGTCGTCCGAAAAAAGAGGCCGGATACGAGCTGGCGCAAAATCGGCCAAGTAGCTCCCAAGTAGCTCCCAAGTGACGCCGATTCGAAGATACTCGACCGATTGTAAATATATTTGGGCTACTACTGTAGACTAGACAATTCTATGTATCTACGAGCCTTTTGTGCACAGGAAAGGATTTGGTGTGAATATTGGTAAGTGTCTGTGTCCATGTAGGATGAGAACAGTGTGGCGGGATTGGGATTAGAAAGATACATACCAAAGTTCAATGGTCGCGCGGGGATCCGCAGCGCCCTCGACAGAATCTTCGTCATCAACTAACCCGTTGAGGCCGGCACGAATATTTGCCTCCTCAAATATGTACGCCCAATCCTCTGGCGACAATCGAGATGCGGATTCGATCCAACCACGCGTCTTGAGACCCCAGTCGCTGTCGTTGAATTGAGCGACATTTTTCTTTTTGTTTCCCTTCTCGTCCTTGATCGGGTTTACCCTTCCTCGTCAACACTCCCTTGCCCACTTGATCAGCCAAATCCAGGAGTTCGGTGCTCCTGGAGGTCTCTGCTCATCTATCACCGAATCACGCCACATCACTGCTGTCAAGAGGCCGTGGCGTCGCTCCAATCGATACGAGGCCCTTGGCCAAATGTTGCTCACCAATCAGCGGCTCGATAAGCTCATTCGAGCTCGCGCCGATTTCGTTGCGCGCCGTATGTTGCCTCCTACCCACGCACCACCTCCGAAACCAATCCTACCTCCCGATGAGGACGACGACACGGGAATCATTGACGAGTATGTAACAGGGAACGTTACTCTTGCGAGAACTCGAGGTACGCACATGTTTCACTTATTTATTTGGATTGCTGCTTATTCATGATAGAACGTAACTACCCCCGCTACCTCCAAGACCTGGCTCAACATATCAACCAACCACAGCTCGTTGAGCTCACTCGGCGCTTCCTTTATGATCAACTTCACGCAAACGACGGCACCTCATCATCCGACATCCCTCTTCAGCAATGTCCTTATCCAACAAGCAAGATCTCGGTCTTCCACTCTGCCGTCGCCACGTTCTACGCTCCTAGTGACGAGTCTGGCATCCGAGGCATGAGAACGGAACGTATCCGCTCAACCCCTTCATGGCGAAAACAAGGGCCGCGACACGACTGTGCTCTTGTTGTCGAGGACCAAGACAAGCCTGGAATGAAGGGGATGAGCATTGTCAGAGTAAAGCTCTTCTTCTCGTTTACTCATGATGCAAAGACATACCCGTGTGCCTTCGTCGAATGGTTCAAACGAATTGGCACAGCCCCTGATCCCGAGACAGGTATGTGGAAGATCAAGCCTGACACATACCGAAACGGCGCGCGTATCGCCACTGTTCTTCATTTAGATACCTTTCTTCGGGGTGGGCACCTTCAGCCTGTATTTGGGAGGGATTTTTTACCCTTTGACTTCCATTTTTCGTACTCACTGGATGCATTTGAGGCATACTATGTTAGCAAGTATGCAGACCATCATTCACATGAAATTTGCTTTTAAACATGTTTGTATGTTGTATCTAACATGTTATTATAATTGTGGTGCTTGGCTTTCAGACTCAAAACTCGGGCAATTGTATTTAACGACACAAATCGGCGTAGCTTGGGAGGGGTCGTACGATTTTGGGATGTTTGGCAAGCGCCCCAAGCTCCCAAGCATCGCCAAACAATTTGCGGTCTTGCTGATGTCACCGATTTTAGCCACGCACCCCACGGACAAAGACCTCGGGGGGCCATGCGCTGCTATCAAACGCGTTTGTTGTCCCCCATATTGCCAACCCTTTCATCTTTTACTTATAAGCCCGTTTTTCTGCAGGCAACGAATGTCCTGGCACATGCGAAGGTCGGCCAGCCAGAGCAGGTCGCAAGCCTTGTATCTTACCTCGCTTCTCCCGAATCCCATTTTCTGACTGGTAGGAATTTTAATGGGCGGTCGGTGGATTTTTACTGAAGCCTTCGCAGGTCAAACGATTGCTATTGATGGGGGCTTGGTCTTTAACTAGTACAGTAACAGTCTGTTTTCATGAAACGAATTATTTACACCTCTCGCAGAGGAGTACCTCTTAGAGTGGTATTGAGTCTGATATTTTTTTGCGCCCCTCCACCACTGTAACTTGCCCGGGCTCATCAAGAGACCATAGGTTTTCGTGCCAGTCACCAATTAATACCAAGAGAGCGTTAAACGTGGTAAAAGGGTACCGGTTTCCGTCTTTACAGTAAATTGAAATCAAATCTCTGAACGTGCATAATGCGAGTTGCTATTGTGTAACAGTTTGGTGAAAATTATAGCGTCAGAAGCCGCCGATGAATAGTGTCATTGCACGCAATGAATTCGAATCTAGACGCCAGTCTGTCGAATTCACTACATCCTTAACTGCGGCATTCAACCGAAAGATAAGAGATCATTCCAGAGAATCAGCGCCAATAAGAGATAAAGTTGCAGACAAAACAAAATCTTAGGGGAAGGTGTTGGAAAGTTGCACGCTTGGAAAGGAATGTCGCGAAAGCTGATTGCGTTATTCGACGGGTAATAAGCTGTCGAGGTGACTTTTATTCGCCCCCATACGAGTGGGCATTAGTACTTTGCCACGGAGGCGATGCCTGAATTTAATGCTACGCCTGCCGGGAGAAGCTCCAAGATACGGGGTGCTTTAAAAACTAGAGTTGGGAGTCTACCTGTAGGCTTGAACTGCAGCTTCGATTTCGGAACGGCCGTGTGAGGATGAATTCGAAATAGAATCGATGGCAGAAAACGGAACAGAAAATGAACATGCTGAACATGAGGACACTCCGACATGGAGGCGCTAGATCTAAAAGCGCAAGTCATATGCAGAAGACATGGGAACGTTGCGCATCGCATTAACGCCCGCGTCATTAATAAGAACGGCCATAAGTCTCCCTTGTTTTGGAAGCCAAAAATTTCTATGACATGTCACGCGGATCTATGTAGTCAGCAAGCTGAAAAATCCACCGTGAATATTATTATATACCAGGATGACTCACCATCTCGTGCCAACTGAGGGAAAAAAATTGCGAGGACCGACGGATGATTCCGCTGCAGAAGGAGAATGACAAAAATCATCCGAGTGGGCAGGAGAGAGGGACCTAGGAGGAATGCGAACGAAAATGTCGGAGGTTTCGAACATCGAAATGATGAATCTCATCAAAACCAGATTGCTAGAGGTTGTTGTAGCAGCGACATCGACAACCCATAACTGTAAGGAGGAGGGTAGAAAAATCTCCAGATCCAAGGTAAGCGGAAATCGGATACTCCCTGTGATTGGCAGGAGAATCAAAAGGAAGACTGGAATGAATTGCCTTGTCGCCCGGAGACGTCAACAGAAGTCTTTGGGCTGGAATAGCTGGAGTGTGTACGGCATCTTAGCTGCAGGGTAGCTTCGCCTCGAAACGGAATCCATCGTGAAGAACCGGGGCCAGGGTAATACCAGGTATACTTGTCGAGGCTGTTCCTTTCCCACTGCTCAAGTCCAGTTCCGGAACGTTACTACCCCAGAAACGCTGAAATACCCCTTCTCCGATGCCTGGCCACATCGTGGTGAACATGATGAAGGTTCTCGTAACGAATTGGCGCCGATCATGATGCATGAAAAGGCTAGAAGCTGAAGATAAACACGTGAGACCTTGTCGAAGATTTACTGAATCAGGTCTGCTCTCTCGCAGTGGTTCAGATAACTCTTGGTCTCGCCATAACTCGCCACCTTAGGCGTAAAGCAGATAAGAGTTCCAGGGAGGTCTCGCCCCGAACTGCAGGGATGAGGGGGAAATGCATGGCGAGTGCGGCGTTGTCAAATAGTAGACATCGGTAAGTTGGTGCGCCCCTGTCTGGACGATGTCGCATTGCATTGTGTCCTGTTGACTTTTCTCATTCAGTTGACATTCTTGCGGCGCTCTCCAGGATGATCATGGCGTCAGGGTGATAAAAAGTTGGCTGATCGACCTGGTTCTCCTTAATGAAATGGCAAAAAAAAACGCGTATCAACGCGACACATAAGATGGAGATAAATGGCCAAAGGTCTTCAAAAAATCACTTTTTTGTTGATGACCGAAATTACCGACCTGACCGACGTCATAAATGGCGTCAAAGTCCCCACTTTAGATCCTATAGAGGAGTGCTAGTGAATCTTGGGTACGAACTAGGGGAACTGAGTAAATTACCTCGGCTCTTGGAGTGTCTTATCCATGACAAGGATTTGGTGCAAGAAGCCCAGTGGACTGGAGAAGACGTGAAAAAGATTGTCACAGGTTTTGCCGGTTCGGCGTTTCACAGGGTTGTATTTCCTCATTCGGCAGTCTTTCAGTTTCTTTTCTTGCCTTTCACTCATGACGTGCCTCCTCCCCCTCGTGTTCCGAGCATGTCGCTGGAGTATTTAGTCTGTGGCACAGCCCTTAGTACTGTCATCCCTCCTTTTTCCACAACTCTACACTTTTATCTCTTCATCAATGGCACGCGCGACGTCCAACTCACTCTCTCACTCACCAAGTTTGAGCAAGATGTTAGTGCATGGCGGCGATACCATTGTCGCTCCTGTAAAAGAAGCATATTTCGCGTTTGCTCTGATAAAAGGCAATGTTTTCCTCGTCCAAGGTAAGTGTCATGATGTTTATCAGGTTACAGCCGTTTCTGACGCGTTTCTCTTTGTCTCTAGTGTCGCACGCGACCCCAGCGTCTGCGCTGACCACCGTCGATGTTAAAATATTCCGACACGAGTTTATAACAATATTTCGCTTCTCAGAAGCCACTTCTTTACACCCCGCAGACATCTGCATCCTGGAGCCCATTGATGAAAAGCTCACACGTTATGAGGAAGAAAATGAGACGGTCTTTTTGGCAAAGGATCTCATGGATAAGCTGCGGAAGATGACGGACCCGCGGAGGAGATTTCAATCTCGCCGATGTTCAATGCAACGACAGCGGCAATGGTGACGAGAGTTGAGTTTGGTGGTCACGCAGTGTCGAGTTGGATTGTCTTTCACCATGACGCATTTGTATTTTTATCGCACATCAGCTATGTAACTTATGCCGTCTCATTTCAGATGAACATTATACGATATTCACTCGCTTCTAGAAGGTAAGTATCTATGTAACTTGCGCTTCTTCGTCGTATCCACAGGTCACGCGCTGGATGCTTCTTTCGCTGCTTCAGCCAGAAGCAACCCCTCATCTCAAACACCCATGGCCTCATCGAACGTTTCAAAAGCCTACTCGACGCAACCCATCCGGCCTGACGTTCAAAGGGAGATTTTTTTTCAGAAAGGGTCCGAATTTCTCTCGCGATGGGGAGTCGAGACCCAAGGGTAGGTCTTTCCCCAACGCCTAGACAAGCTTACCAGGGAAAAACAGTATCACCCCAATACCCACCGAACGCCGGACCGATAAGCGTCTCTATCAGCTGTTCTTCGTCTGGTTTTCCGCCAATTTCAACATCCTGAATTTTGGCACTGGGTCGGCTGGCCCTGCGTTTTTTTCCCTCGGCTTTCGGGCAAGCCTTGCTACCATCCTCTTAGTTGATATCATGTGTGTGAACCTTCCTCACCCGGGGTTGCTGATAAAGAACACCCACCCTAGAACTTGCGCCATTCCGGCTTATTTGTAAGTTTTGGCCAATAAATCGTGACTCCTCTTGAAGTATTGTTCATCCTCCTGATCAGTGCGGTATTCGGCCCCAAGTTGGGAACGCGTGGGATGGTGCAATCGCGCTTCTCCTGGGGGTGAGGCCAGACGTTTGTATATGTAGAGTATAATAATTAACAGATCCAGGTACTATGGTTCGATCATCCCGAGTCTCCTTAACGTTATTTCAATGCAGGGATATTTGATCCTGAACTGCATCATCGGCGGTCAGAGTTTGGCAGCTGTTTCTCACCACTTGAACGACACCTTGGGTATCGTCATCGTTGGCGTCATCAGTCTTTTGGTGAGTTGATCTATTGATGTATCTTGGTGACTCACGTTTAGCGCTTGATCTCAGGTGACATTTTGTGTGGTTCATATGTGAGGCTTCTATGTTTACGACATCTGCCGGAGTGGATGATGATATGAATAGCTTCGAGACTTATTCTTGGATACCGAAAGCGCTGGGTCTTCTTGTCATACTTGGAGTTGGGGGGAAGCACCTAAATCAATCGACATCATCATTGTTTGCCCCCCCACTGCCACTAGTGCAAATGCAATTTTGTCCTTCGGCTGTTTCGTTGCTTCAGCAGTTATCGGCTGGTGCACATTAACCCCAGATTACGGAGTCTATCATGACGCGGAAGCATTGAGGTAAATGTAATCAGGTTCTGTCACTTCCAATGATTTCTCAAGCTGCCGCAAAATAGCCTCCGGATCTTCACGTATACCTATCTCGGTTTGCTAACTTCGAATGTGAGCATCACGAATTTTGTTATCAACTACATCATCACGCACTGGTAGGTACCATGGCATCTGACTGGTGCGGCGTTTGCTGCGGCGGCTCCAGGAGTACCGGCTTGGAAAGAAAATTTAGAACCAGGCTTTAATATCGGTCAATTGCTCGCCGTGATCCTCTCACCAGCTGGAGTCTTTGGGAAATTCCTCCTAGTCCTCCTCGCCCTATCAACATCTTCCGCGTGCGCCCCGACGATGTATACTTTCGGTAAGGCGTTTCGTCGCATTCGACCCTGAATGAGCGAACAACGTATCGTCTTCTTTTCAGGAACCAGTTTTATGACCATTGCGCCGTTCCTAGCTCGTCTGCCGCAATGCGTCTTCGCAGTCCTATCAACGGCGATGTAAGCTGAAAATACAAAATGACCCACCGTCTAATCTACACCACAGATTGATACCATTGGCTATTCTTGGTGCCCGACAGTCTTACCGAGTTGAGTTCACCGGCAACTTTCTTCAACGGCCATTGTCAAGGCGTTATCGGTTATTGGTCCACAGCATTCGCAGCCATCGTTCTCTCTGAGCATTTTTTTTTTCGCTCAAACAATTTTGCCTCGTACACTGTTGGGGACTGGGATAACCCAGCAAGGCTCCCGTTTGGGATTGCAGCCGTCCTCGCCTTTGCAGGAGCCTTTGCGGTGATCGTCCCCTCTATGTCCCAGACTGAGTACACTGGCCCAATCGCCAAGGCTGGCACAGGTGATATTGGAGTCCTAACGGGGTTTTTGACAGCGACACTTTTGTATGGCGTTCTAAGAACCCTCGAGCGCAGGTTGTTCCCGAAGCGATCCAGCTGATATGTTAATTCATTCTCATGATCTTGGGGAGACTTAGTTATGGTAACAACCATCTTGTGCCCATCCTTTGCTTGCGTACAGAGAGTTGGATTCTGCGCGTGAGCGGCGGTGATTGCCTTAGGAGATCCGAGAATTGCTATCGAGGCCTCCGTCACCTGGGGAAAAGAATCATACGACTCTGACCAGACCGATCATGTCAAGTGCCCTTCCGAAAATTATGTTGTGGATCATCATAGCAAGTCGGATCCAAATCATCCAGGCCCCCGGAAGCTCATGCTATTTCTTGTCCGCAAAAAGCAGTCAAAATGGGCCTCAAATCCGCTAAATTGGCTTCTTCTCTTCATCGCTGACGGTAAAATCTCCATCTTTGATATGAATGCTATTCCAGAAAATTTTCTGCCCAGTTGCGCCCTCAAATCCGCTATCCGTGGACATGCCTGGGGCTAAAATCGCCTCGAATCCGCTATTCTGGGACAAAGATTGGCAAAATTTTCGGCCCTCAAATCCGCTATTTTTGGACAAGAAATGGCTTGAGCTTCCCGGGGCCTAATCATCCTTTTCGAGTCGGCCATTCTCTCCAAGGGCCTGGGAAGTCCGAGTGTAACCGCAGATGCGAGCACACGATTAGGAACTTCCGGAAAACGAAACAAAAGCCAGTAGGTCCCTTCTAGAAATCCTTGCGATCCCATGACAAGTCACGTTCCCCACTTTGGCGCAGTTTCGAAGTTCTCGATTCTCGCCTCACCAACTACGACCGATTGAAAAGGGGTCAAATTTCAAGAGTCGGCATCTTGGGGTATCACCAGTAAGCCCTTCTTTCATTTTATCGGCCGGATCCAGGGAGGAGAGGGTACGAGGCAGAGGTGTCGGATGAGGTCGGATGATTGATGGCATGAGGAGCATATCGGGGCTGGAAAAATCACGAAAACATCCAGCTGAGATGTCGCAACACTGATATCGAAAGTTACTAGATGATAGCAGGTATCAAAGCTAACCTGATCGCACAAGGACATCCCAAGAATAGCCTTATCAGCCGCCAGACCTAAAGCACAACATGAGACTAAGCACGTCTTCAAAAGGTGGTCTCAACAATCCTGTGGCAAAGTATCAATTACCCTGATAAACTAGATCCAAATGCACCTCTGACGATTGATCAACTTTCGAATTAGGCCGTCCAGGTTGCGTGCTAATTTTACAATAATTCAGCCACCCAATCGATGTCCTTGTCCCCACTGATGGCCTCCGCCGCTTGTAGATGGAGCTGGTCTCCGTGGAGGTATCACTTGTACTCCTCCAGCAGCCAGTCCGGCTGCTACACCTCCGGCGTTCGGTGGCGGTCGTGGAGCCCTCCCTTCGCCCAGAAGATTTCTCAACCACTGTGGAGCTTGTGCAGCGTTCGCCAATACACCCTGCGACCCGAGCCCCACGCCCCATACACTCCACCACCATGCATGTCCAACAACCGCACCCGCCACAGACTGCGCTGCAGCCGCGGGTCCTGCCATGAGGAGGTCCATGCCAATCATAACGTATGGGAAATACTTGATGGGAACGGTGAGGAGACCCATGAGAGAGGTTTGTGCGCCTGGGGGTGCGAGGGCGGAGGAAAGATAGGCGAGGCAAACGAGCAGAGGCCGAAAGAATATGTATGTTTTGATAGGAATTGTGGCTACCTGAATCGAATTTTATTAGAAGTGGGGACATCGGGTAAGGAAGATAGAGAACGGACGATAATTGAGCCGCAGGCAAAAAGGAGTTGCCATGCCAGATCAGCTGAGTGACCGAGATACGGTCCCGACTCCAGTTGGTCTGTCATACGGCTGCACGCAGATTAAGGTTAGTCAATTTGACCAAAGATCGACGGCGAAGACCACACTTACTAGAGCATGGCCAGCTCGAAGATGTAATTGATTCCTCCACCTGTAAATGTAACCCAAATCAATACCTTGCTCTCCCGAAAAGAGATTTAATCCCGGCTACCCACTCCCTAGAAAGAAACTGGACCACAATCTCCAGACCTATACAGGAATGAGCCGCCTGTTTTAACCCACCAAAAACATGGCAACACACCTGAAACTTCTTCATTACCAGTTCTCGCACGAACAAAATCTTGTACGGGGCCACGATATTCAAAAGCACTGGGATAGTCACAGCCAGCGAGGAACCACATAGAAACCGAGTTATCGGTGGAATTTTCCGCAATTCCGCGACAAATTGGTCCATTTTTGCTTGAAGATAAGGTGAATTCGTGGTTCTTGCAAAGGTTCAAGCGTTCAAATGGTAAGAGGTCATAGCAATTTGTTGTGGTTGAGGATGCTCAGCGCTCAGTGAACTAACACTGGCGTGTGTTCTTTCAATTTGGCCTTGCTTGTCTAGGCCCTCTGCTTTCCCAGCGCCATAGACCAAGACTCCCCAAGATTTCCTTACCACCTCGTTTATGATGATATCAATGCGTCCTTGCTTACCATCCTCCTGTTAGTAGTTGCGTAGCTTGGCTTGGCAGCTTGAATCATGGGTTTTGCTTGGATGGGCGTCTCTATGTTCTAACTTCTGACTTCTGGACAACTTCTGGGCATCGCCGAATAAGGCCGCGCTATAGATCAACGACCCCCACTCATGGTTGAACGGCTTGGGACAACTCATTATGCATTTATGGACGAGCGGCATAAAAAAGGCATTGATTGGTGAGTTACTACCACTGGTTCCATTTCCGCGTTTATCGAAATGAGAGACAAACCACTTATCAAAGTTTTGTGCCAGTACCACTTATTTCTTCCGGTCGACGACCCCAAGAGCAGAGAATCTGTTTCCCTAACTCGACCGATGTAGTGACACATCAAGCTTACTAGCTTCCGTTTCCGTATAATTTTATAAGTAAGCGCCTTTCTTGGCACTCATGTCTTGGACAACGAGCCCCACTGGGCGTGGGTGTGCAAGACTGTGGCTGTTGGCGAGTGGATGCCGCAAAGTATTGTTTCTGGAAAGGACCTTCCAAGTCCTGCCAGACTTCCCACCTATAAATACAAGCCCATGGTGCGCTCTCAAGTCCCCACAATCCGCACATGAGCAACTTTCCACCCCAAGTACGCCTATCCACAGTTGAGGGTCCTACTCAGGATGTCGAAATTTTATCAAGCGACCACAGTACGCTCGACGCCCACGAGATTTACAAAGATAACAACATGGATCGAAGTGCGAACGGGATGATTTGGGTGTTCACGTGGAGCGAAATCGTTGGCTATCTCCTCCAAACGGTTGGACTTATTGCGGGGATTGTGTTCGGCATAAGGGCGATCAGAACGTATGATGCGGCAAAGAGTTCACTCGGGATTGCGACCAGCGCCAACGAGATATCAACGAAGGCGTTGGCGCAAAGCAGGTTGGCGAACCATCTCAACTTGTTGACGTTCTGTGCCTCTATGCAAGCAGGCCCACCCTCCAATTTCGTACGTCCTTCCACCTACGTATTGAGCTGGATTCCATTTACTGCGCCAGCCAGACTACCCCTTGCCCCACGGTCAATACATATCTGTTGATGACTGTGATCAAGGGGATTTCTCCTCCTGATGCAGATGTGACAATGGCCCCTTCACCATCGAAACCTCGTACAGCACGCTTCGCTATAATTATAGTCGCCGTAGTTATACTATTTGTGACTATTGGAGCTTTCTTAGTTGGCAAGAAAAGACTGAGAATCTCCGTTAAAGTTAACTAGTATACACGGTCGGTAACCTGGAAATATACTCTAGATAGATATGTAGTTGCATTTTATTTTCATTATCCCCGCGTCCTGAGGATTCATCTAGACAGCCGCAAATATTTAGAATGTTGGCATGATATCAATTACTCTAATAAATTAGCCTCAAATGCACCCCTGACGATAGTCAGCTTTCGAATTTGGCCGTCCAGTTTGCGTGCTAATTATACAATAATTCAGTCTCCCCTTGTCCCCACTGATGGCGTCCACCGCTGGCAGGAGTGTATCATGTAGTTGGTCTCCGTGGAGAGACAAATTGCACAGCAGCCAGTCCGGCTGCTACACCTCCGGCGTTCCTTAGCGCTCGTGGAGTCCTCCCTTCGCTCAAAAGATCTTTCAACCACTGTGGAGCTTGTGCAGCGTTCGCCAATACACCCTGCGACCCGAGCGCCGCGCCCCATACACTCCACCACCATGCATGCCCAACAATCGCACCCGCAACAGACTGCGCTGCAGCCGCGGGCCCTGCCATCAGGAGGTCCTTGCCGATCATGAAGTATGGGAAGTACTTGACAGGAAGGGTGACAAAACCCATGAAGGAGACTTGCCCGCCTGGACCTGCGAGAGCGCAGGAAAGATAGGCGAGGCAAACGAGTAGAGGCCGAAAGAATATGTTTGTCCTCAAAGGAATTGTGGCTACCTGAACGAAATGTGATTAGAAGTGGGGACTCGGACACAAAGGGGAGGATGGCGAACGTACAATAATTGAACCGCAGGCGAAGAGGAGTTGCGACGCTAAATCAGCTGAGCGGCCAAGGTAGGGTCCTGACTCCAGTTGGTCTGCCATATGACTGAAGCAGATAAGTCAAGTTGGCCAGAGAATGACAGGTAAGACCACACCTACTGTAGCATAATGAAGTCAAAACCGTAGTCGATTCCTCCACCTGTTAACATATTCCAAATCAATGCCTTGGTTCTCCGAGAGATAAAAAACTTCGTCCCGCTACCCACTCCCTAAAAAGAAACTGGACCACAATCTCCAGACCTAAGTACTCAATGAGCCGCTTTTTTGATTTGTCAAGAGCACAACAACACACCTGTAACTTCTTCATCACCAGTTCTGGCACAAAACAAAACATTATGCGGAGCCACTATATGCATGAGCACTGCGATAGTCACAGCCAGCGAGGAACCACATAGAAACCGAGTTATAGGTGGAATTTTCCGCAAATCCGCAACGAGGTAGTGATCCATGTTGATTCTGGTGGTTCAAAGGTGAATTTGTGGAACTTGCGAAGTTCAACTTGAAGTGTTCAATGGTAAGAGATCATAGCAATGTACTCTGGAGTGAGAATGCTCAGCGCTCAGTGATGACCGTTGACGTGGTCAGAATGTTCATTTAATTTGGCTATGTTTTCCCGCCTGTGCACGCTTCGCTATAAATAGAATACTTAGTCGCTGCTTTTAGTTGACTGAACACCTCCAAAATCCACTAGTATCCACAGTAGATGACCTGAAAATACACCCAAGAGAGTATATATAGATATGTGATTGCATTTCATTTTTTCCCCCGGGTCCCGAGGTGACAATGTATCTCGACAGCCGAAAATACACGGCACTAAGGACAACTGTGGGCATAATTCCATATTACAATAATTAGAACCACTGGATAAGCGTACTATAATAGTGTTACATGCATTGGCAAGCGAATAGCAGCAAGCGCGGACACCACCGTCTTGGAGCTGCTGGGGTACATAACATTTCCACCGGATACCATAATCAATACATCTACAGGTCTGAATATGTCGTGAACTTTGGAGCGAGTCCTTGAATTTCATGGATGGGAAGGTTTATGATCATGGTCCAAATGCCTGTGGATCGTCAAGTCCAAGGCATCCTTCGCAGCGGCGTCTATCTCTTGTAAAAACCCTGCACAATGAAATAGTGAGATGAAAAGTTTACGGACGATTACAAGAGAGACTTACGTTCGATATTTGACAACAAAATTTCTACCTGTGCGGAAGCATAAAAATAATCCATATAGTTGACCACATACGCACTGACCTTTCTATTCCCATGTTTTCCGTCACCATCGGGTTCGGATTTATGTATATTCTCTTTCCTTCCCGCAGCCACTACCGTGCGCGCCCTCTGAACGCGCTCTAAAATATGGTGAGGAAGCGCGTGAAGCTTTCCCTTGATACTTCTACCCAGCTCATAATGCTCAGGGTTAGAAGTATTGATGGTATTTGTTCGGGTGTTATGTCGGATAGGGGCTGGAGATAAAAGTGTGGTGCTTGTGCCAGCGGAGGGCGGTGTCGCGAAGTCTTGTTCTATGAAGGAGTTGTTTCGTAAAATATCTGTTCCATTGGGGGCTGTAGTACTAAACTTTTGACCTCGCGGAGTAAATGTGAGTGGGGAGTTTGGAGATATCGGAGACGCAGGGTGTTCTTGGTTGGTTGTGGGGGTGAAGTTTAGCGACGTTCCAACCATCGTGCGAGAATCATGGAAGCGCTGACGGGAATTATCTTCATTAATGTACGGACTTAACAGTGGCTGTTGGCCCTGCGGTCGAATGGCGCTCTTGTAGTTTATTGAGTATGCCTCGGTCAAGACTGGACGACGGATATAGGCGGTTACACAATAGAAATAATAGAAATGACCTACTTGATATAAGGATCGTCATTGTAGCGACTCCCAGGAGAGCCCAAACGACAAAAATGGAACGTCCGGCCGGTGTGCTTGGAGAAAGGTCACCTGAGAAATGTAGACGTTGATTCTAAAAATTGAACGCTGTACAAGGAACCACATACCATATCCGACTGTGGTGAATGCAACAAAACCTGCGAGATCCGATATTGATATGCATTATAGAGAGAAAAAAAGACAGCTTACAAAAATAGACGGCCGTACCAAAACGCCATCCCTCCGTCTTCATAAAAATGGCAGATCCAACCTGAGCTTCGAATTAGCATCGCAGTCGAGGTAGCGTTCGTATAAAGTGCGAACCAGCCAAAACATAAAGAATAACAAGAACGCCGCAGATAAGCGCGCATAAAAAGCAGTTTCCTCCTCTGCTTCTACGGTCGCGTCAAACACGTCGGGGTCCATGGTCATTGTATATGTGAGTGGGACGCCGTGATAGGAACCGCTGTCCTCATGATCGTCATATGAGTCTTCTTCTTCTTCAGTGTGTATGTGATCGACATGTTCGCCATGTCCCATGGCCAGCGCAAAATTTCCCAAGAGAGCTAGCATTCTGCCGAGTCGAATGTGCGTCAACGGGGAACCACCGGTCCCTCCACCCCCTCCTACAGGTTCACTTGGATGCCACCCCCCAGCAGCGTTGTCCTCGTCGCTTAATCTGAAATTGGGCGGTAAGAGGCTAGCAAGCGGGGCCCCAGCTTCCATTGCCGCGGCTTCTAGCTGCGCCAGAGAAAGGGCTTCAACATTCAGCCGCTTGTGCCTCGGACCACCGTGCGTATACTTCCATGTCGTGTCGTTTCTACTTCTCAAGCAAAACGCTTTCCACCATTCGTCGTCATTTCGTTCCTCCTCGACCCAAATGGGCAGCCTTTTAGCTCTCAGTCGCCATTTTACTGCGCCCCTCCAGCGGTGGTTAATACGTCGCTCACGGTCGCGCGTGCGAATCCCTCGAATTCGCTTCTGGAGGTTTATAGCTACCGCTTCAAGGACGGCCTCACGGGAGAGAGCAACAGCGAGCGCGAGATTGAGGATCCCAAATGTAATATAGAAACAGATAACTACCCGAGATGCCGTAGATGACGGGTGTAGATCTCCAAATCCTGTTCGGCTAAGTCTTCTTGAAACGGGTACGAAATTCAGGGAACATACCAATTGTTTCAATGGAAACAACAGCCAAATATAGGGCGTCGATAAAGTTAAGTTTCATCATCACAGATAAAACCAGTGCTCCCAGGGCGATGTAGCAGAGGAGAACGATGACGATGATAACCAAAGACCGCTGCTTGTGTGTTAACCCACTCCCTATGAAACGACTGAGGAGAGAAAACGAGAACATATGTGAAGCGCGTACCGCTTTTGCTGAAATTTTTTGTCCACGCATAATCAATCAGCAAGGTCACGTTTGTTACTGTCGAGGAGAACGTAGCACAGAGTGCCATCCAGAATGACTGTCCATAGGTGAATCCGTCGTCGTCGCGGTGACCTATACCAAACGCAGTTACCGCGATGATACTGATGACGTCTATGTCGTGATTAAATTGAGAAGAGCGTTGACAAGAACATCCAAACTAACCGTGCGCGGTGAGGGATATGATGGCAAGGATGGTCATCAACTTCACCGCCCTTTCCGTGAATCTAATCACCAAGCAGATGCATGCAAATAGCGCGAAAGCCATGCTCACGGCCATAGCAACGTTGAGCAGGCGCGGATTCGGTCGGGTTTCTATTGTTTCGCTGTTCGGACCAGTTCTGACGTACCAGTGACCACTGAGACTTGGAATATCAAGAAGAATTGAGAATGGGACTACGATTCCGGAAAAAATGGGGAGAATGCGATATGTTGGGCTCGATTCGGATATGACGAGGTGTGGGTGAAACAAGGTAGTGAGTTTTTTCCAGCTTATCGGCCCGAGATGGTGGTGGTGGTGTTCATGTTTAGGCCGAGAAAATTCCCCGCTGTTCTCTTCGACATGATAGTTCGAAAACCGTCGCAGGGGATCGGAGCGCTGAGTGCGATGGGTAGCACCAAGCACGCCACTTGGCGGGTATGTATCCTTGTCGGTAGAAGGCTTCTCAACGCTGGAGCTACCTTGGACTGGCTCGGGATCCTGTGAATTGACCAGCCAAGAAGTTATGGAGCTGGGAAGGGGTAAATTAAGCATCTTATGAATGGATGACGGGCATTCCTGAGGGCGTCCTGAACGTATCCTGAACGTAGAATTAAATCGTCGCGAAAGAGAGTGTTTGAAGCTTTATCGATTGTCCTTAGCGATAAGCAAATAGACGTCGACGTGATAAGAGAATGGATTGGTGCAAGATTGGTGCCAAGACGTCAACGCGCCACTTGGAAGTTGTTTGACGTTTTCGTGCCTTGCAAACAAATCATAAAGTACTTATCCAGGAATCCTGAGATCAACTTCGGCTTGAACGTTTGAACCAAGTTTGAACGTCAGTACTTCAGTAGCATGGCTCTGCAGCGGAAACATTATCTCGAAAATTATAAGCTCTCAGTTCAGTTTTTGGCGGTTGAGGCCACCTTATAATTAGTAAGACGCTATTAATAATAGCTACCTCCGCGCTCCGCGATGATAACCTTTCCACAGGAACCGACTCATGACCATTGTGAAGACGCCATAAATAGATTCATATCTGGATAAATGTCCGCAACCTCCGAACTTGAATGCATCGCTCGGTATATTATTTTTCACGGTTGGCTTATCGCGGAGTCGGCAACTAGTGCAAGACTCGGAGCGGCAATAAGGAGATGTTTTCAAATCAGCTTACAACTGGTGTAATAGCCTGGTTGTGGTCTCTGTCTCGCTTCGCTAAGCTCATAAGCACAGTCTCCAGTTCGATTCTGGATTACACCAATACGTCGTCGAGATAAGTTTTTCCTATTTTAAAGTCACCAGTCTGCCAGCAATCGTTGTCAATGTCCGCAACCTCCACGTTCCCATTATTTTTCACGGTTGGCTTATCACGGAGTCGGCAACTAGTGCAAGCGCGGCGATATAATAAGATGTTTTCGACGAATCCTTACAACTGGTTTAATGGCCTGGTGGCTATAATTTCTGTCTCACAGTGCCAAGCTTGTGGACACAGAAGGTCTCCAGTTCAATCCTGGATTAAACCTTCGAGAAGTTAAACATATGTATTTTTGCACTCGCCCGAGTATTGATCTCATTGCAATAAATCTTTTCTCCTCAACTTACAGGGTTCAATGGTCTAGTGGTTATGATTTCTGTCTTACATCGGTAGTGTATCATGTCTGTACACAGAAGGTCTCCAGTTCGATCCTGGATTGAACCAATTTTGCCACTCTTTTCATTTTTCAAAGCCATCCCAAAACCGTACCGTACTTTATCCCAATTCAGATTCGTTATATTATTATAACCACGAAAAGTCCAGGGTATGTGTATCATATAGCACAAATAATAAAAGAAGCAAGAATAATACCCCCCTCCGAACCACCACCCCCGCCATACCGTCTATGGTACATTTTTATGGACGAGGCGATATCCGCACATCGCTCAACGATGCATCAGGAACAGGCGTATGACTCCGCGACCCACTCGTCCGTATCGGCAAAGGCGTCCTCGCACTCCCATTAACACCACCAGCACCCCTCTGCTGCTGCTGACGTTTCTTCTTCCTCAAATGAGTCCGTTCATCCATATCTATATCCATATCATCATCCGTCTCATCCTCCTCCCTCAACAACTGCAGCCCAACCGCTTCCGACCCCGGTGTCCTGTTACCTACTACAGGCTGATCATGCTCCTCAAACGCGTTGAACAGCGTCGTCGTTTGTGAGCGATACAGCGAACTCTGCCTCCCATGTCGTCCCGCCGGCACATCCCCAGCTCCACCGCCGTTCCACCCATCAAGCGACATCCGGCCCTGGAGGCTCATGCGCGGGTTCATCAGCCCGCCTTCGAGGGCCGAGTGCCTGTTGTGGTCTAGTGGTGGTTCAGGGGTCCGTGAGATGTTGAGGAGGTGCACGCCAAAGAAGGTGACGATGAAGCCGCAGAGGAGGGAGACGGTGTTGGTTGCGTTGGTGGTATTGAATCCTTGGAAAAGGATAAGGGAGGCGACGATGGTTGATGTTGAGAAGCCGACGTAGTACATTGGGTTGACTCTGCGAGGGGGATGGAGGATTAGGGGGATTTGGGAGGAGGGAAGAGGGCGGAACTACGTACACGTTGGTCGAGAAGGTATCTAGTGCTTTGTTGAAATAGTTCATTTGGACGAGAATACATAGCACAACGAAGATCCCAAAGACGTATGTGCTGGGATGTGAGAACTGGTTGTGCCCACCAAACGTGAGCTTGACGGCCACGCCGAAGCCTTTAATTGCCATTACGGAAACAGAGCCTACGAGGGAGCAGATGGAAATGTAAACAATGGGGTTTTGGCGGCCGTATCTTGGAGCGATAATGTAGATCATGACTAGGGTAAACACCAGGACGGAGAAGCAGTACATGAGAAAACCTAGAAAAGTGGTTGGTTAGTAAAAGAAAGTAAGAATTTGGAGGGTATAAGAACACCTGGCTGTATCGCATAATGTAAAATTTCGTCTACTGTTTCTACCGGTTTGTCTTCTGGAGCGTGAAGGACGATGATGAGGGAGCCTATGAGGCATAATGTACAACCGAGTCGGCCCAGGTGTCCTAGTTCTTCACCGAGAAGGAATGAAGCAAGAATGGCGCTGGGACAGGATGAGCTTGGATAGACGTCCAGAACCTAAGCTCACGTACCCAATAATGACGCTCAGTGCGCCGAGAGGGGTGACGAGGATTGGAGGGGCAAAGGTGTAAGCAGCGAAGTTGGCGACTGGGGGACGGTCAGATACGAATTATGGGGTGGTTGGCGGTGCTTACTTTCTCCTACAACTACTACATTAAATCAGTACTAGGGGAGGGGTTAAAAGGCGACTGCGACTCACAGGTCGACATTCCTGCCCACCATATTGGGTTTCGAAGATATGAGAGATTGTCCGATGCTTGGGAGCCATAAGTAGCGTTTACTGCTGCGTCGTTGAGACCCTATAACAGAGGAGGTGGAATCAGATGACTGGCTTATTCAACGAGGAATATGAAGGGAAGTATGTCAAAGGATACGGTGCATGACCGACATGAATGGAAAACAGGAGAATGGACCCCTGAGGTTGCCCTCGGTCTTGAAGACAAGCACATCCTAGTCCCTCGTATCATGAAAAAGGCAGTCCATACCCCAACAACCCGCCGATGAGCGAATGTAGCGTCGTGGACGATGCGCGCATCGGGAAAGTACTCATCACGAATGTTGAACGTACCTTTTTAGTGATGATGAAACTGGTACCAATTGCCACAGAGCCTGAAACGGCCAGAGCAAGGCCTATGTACTTGTCGTCGACCATGACGGCGTCGAGGAGCGGTAGACCGGAAAGGAGAAAGGATTGACGGGGGGCGTTACGCCAGCGAAAAAGAGCAATGGAAGCGGTTAGCGCCTCCGTCCATTCGTGGCATTGTCAATCGCAAACCACGTGCTCTTGTTTGCAAACAACTGGTGCGCAGCAAAGTTCAAACAATGTTCTCCTCGTCGATACTATCCGAGAGCAATACTCGAAGAAAATTGGGCGACAAGTCAGCTGTACTTGGGGTCATAGGAGGTGCCGCTAGTCGCCTCGAAATTCGGGAGAGCAAGTCGACACATCACGTATTTGATCCGATATCAGGAATATTGCACTTTCGAGACTCCATCTCAACCATAATCACCCGACGGAAATTTAGGAATTTTCACTCCATGTAAATATGAAACTGGTAAGCATGACATCGACTAACGAAACGTTGAACCAGAGCACATTACGCCGAGGGATGTATCGGGCACCCTTGAGCACCTGAGCGAAGTGCAGGGCAAACCCCAGGACACATTTTTGCTTATTGTTTGTGTCTGCCAGGTCTGGCTGGTACTGGGGACATTTTTCAATTCAACCGAAGGATTTATCTCCAGTTCAAACGACAAGGTGAAACTTGGGTGAAACCACTTCTTCGTCGAACCATCTGATTGTCCACTGCCTGAGCCTCGAGGTGCATCAACTGATGATCAGCAACTATCACCAAGACAGGAAGAATTTCAAATACGGCTGACCGATGCCGTAACCCGCGACCAGCCGCGACCCCGACGGTACATTTACAAAAACCTATAAAAGCCTCCCAACTTTCAACAATCTTTCCTTACCGACGTGAGCTGGTTCTCTGTCTGTCACCTAAATCCGTGCAGCGCACTCGCCTTTTCTCGCTTTTCTCGACTAACTATCTTGACTACCTTCACGACCCCCTCATTCTTTCCTCACTATGCAACCCAAATTCCTTGCTCTTGTGCCCCTTGTGTCCCTCATGGCCTCTTTCGTCGCTGCGTATCCGTCCATTGACGCCGCCGCATTGATGGTAGCACCCCCCTCTGACTGAGCCTTTGAGTTTTTTTGTGCTGACTTGTTCTTAAAGGAACGTGGTTACGATGGGGGAGAAGGCCTGATCTTCGCGCGCGAGTACGACTTTGCTGACGCCCTCGAAATGCGGGACTTTGACGATGACCTCGAAATGCGAGCCTTTGAAGATGAGCTCGAAACGCGTGACTTTGACGACGAGCTTGAAATGCGCGGCTTTGATGACGACTTCCTCGAGATGCGAGAGTTTGACGAACTCGATGCGCGTGACTTGGAGGACCTCTTCGAGCGTGGTGGTCTGTAAGTGTCATATTTTTGGCGTCGGGTCGTAAGGGTTGTCGCTTATTGTATGGCTATCCCCAGGTTCAGCAAGACGTCCCCCGAAGAGAAGAAGCAGAAAGAGGAAGACAAGAGGAAGAAAGAGGAGAAAAAAGCCAGCAAGGACACCCAGAAAGCGATTGACAAAGCCAATAAGAAATCGTCGCTCAACATCCAATGTATGCAGTGTGGAAGCTGGGAAGGGAAGATTACGGCTAGGATCCAGAAGGAGTGGAAGAACGACGCCAATATCCACAAGTTTGAGAATTGTCAAGCGACGTAAGTTTTTTCGAGACGCTTTTTTTGGTTTGGTGTCGATCTGATTGGCCTTTCGTTGTATAGGACGAAGGATTATAATGGAGGTCAGATGGTTACAGCTCGTTACTACAACGGAAATAGCGTCCTCAGTGGAGGCGCTGTCACGTATATGATTTACAAATGATTTGCTTGAGTATGTACTTGCGAATGACTTGACCTCTTCCATTCCTCCCCTGTTATCCCAAACGGATATGAGTTTTTTTGTCGCCCAGAGTAACGATCTCGTTGTGGCCCTTGTGGGAGGGATCATACACTTGGGCAAAGGAGTTTACTTTCAGAGTGTACAGTCCATTGGGGAGAGTCATCGTTGCAAATGTTTAGCAAGGTGTTTGGGTTCGAGCTGGAGGGAGGTGATGGTCTTAACCTTGAAAACCACCTGGTCTTTATGTTTTTCAGAAAGGAGGGCTAGGGTCGGCGGGAGCGCCGCGGTTCAATTTCAAAATTTGATTTTGATGGAGCCCTAACCCCAACCCAGAAAATCTTTTGACTCATAAAATAGGTCACGTGACCTATGCAGATATGTCTATGAACGCACGCTGGCCTCGCGTCGCGCAAAACCACGCCGCTGCTCCACGTACAGGAAGAATCGAACCAATTATATGTCCTATCTAACCTAACACTTAAAAAATAAGCATAAATATTGCTATTAAGGTATACAAATTAGCATAGAATACTTACTACAGTCATCCACCTGCTAATGATGGGGAGTGTAATACGGGACTGGATCACACGAGGAGTGAACAGTTCCAAATCGTGTATAAGAGGTAAAGTGAGGGTAAAAAGGAAGGAAGAAGACGAAAGCTAGAATGGATCTACTTATAGCTGGATGCGTGTGTCAATGTGTGTAAATATGAGCAAATAGGTGTCCTTACACCCCTCCCCCTCCACAAAATTTCAACGCCAACGCAACAAAAAATAGAGGAGAGAGAAAAATTTTACCTAAGTAAGTAAAACTGACTGGGTGCGTTAAAAAACCCCGTGGGAAAAAGCTACCGTCAGGTTGATTTAGAAGAAAAATGCGAAGTTCCTCCGAATTCGATCCAACGATCCAGGGCTTCGTTGTCTTCTAGCATCGATGCTGGGAGCCATTCGTCATGTTCAGGGCCAAATCCAACCCAACGGACTAAGTATGAAGGTTTCCTGTTTCTCTTCTTGAAATCGAGAATCCGATCCACGTAGTTTTCGAGTACTCCGTCGACCAGGACCGGTTCCGGAATTTCTGCGTTCTTGCGAGAAGGAAATATTTCGTCGTCATTCGGAATAAATGGTTTAATCTGTGACGCATGAAAAGTGGGGGAAGATGTTAGTAGTATGTGGTAAATTCAATTTATATGTCGATGTTTCTGTATGTGCCTCTGTAATTTCCCAGGGTCCATCAAATCTCGGCATAAATTTCGCGACTCTTCCATCACCAGGTTTTTCTTTGAATTCTCGACGTCTGTTCGCTGTTGACAACATCACTTTGTCTCCCACTTTGTACTTTATCTCTGCTCTCCGTTTGCCATTCGCGAAATATGCTTGGGAGATCTTCGCCAACATCAAGTTATCTTTAGCATCGGCAACATTCTGCTGAATTCTTTCCACTATTTCCAATGCGTCGATATCGTCGTTATCGTTCATTTCAGATTTGTCGAAATGCGGTAATATCCGGGGTGAGCGGCCATACTTCAATTGAAAAGGTGAATATCCTGTGGATTTATTAATCGTGTTCATCAGGAAAAACCGAATTCGAGGTAAGGCTTTTCTCCAACCCTTTTGGTTTCGCTCCACATGAAAACGTAAACATTGGTTTACTGTTTTGTTTGTGCGTTCGCTACTACCGTCTGTTTCTGGATGGTTGGTGCTCGACATTTTCAGTTCCACGCCGCTCAATTTGTGCAAAGATTTCCAAAATTTGGCAACGAACAATTTGTCTCGATCTGACACGATTTCTAAAGGTAAGCCATTCTCGCAATACCAGTTATCAATAAAAATAATAGCCAGTTCTTCCGCGGTAACATCTGTTCTTGTCGGAATTATTTGAATATCCGATCCAAGTCTGTCTGTTATCGTTAAAATGCAATCGTATCCTTCATCTTCTGGCAGCGGGCCTATAAAGTCCATTGCAATTGATTCACATCTTCCATCAGGGACCTTCAATGGGTGAAGTGGTCCCACAGGTTTCGTGGTGGGTGCTTTATTTCTTTGACAATCTTGACAACCTGGAATATATTTTTCTTCCAGATCTCTGCGCATGTTCGGCCAAAAATATGAATCACGGATGTTATCATAGCACTTGTGGAAACCAAAATGTCCAAGGTTGTCATGTGCGATGCGGAAGATTATTTCTCGTAAGCCTGAATCTTTTGGAACTATCAATCTTTCACCAATATACCACAGATCGTCCTTGCTCTGGACGCTAGGCAGACCTTGACTGGCACGCAATAACTTTTGACACCATTTATCAGTTTTATAGCTCGCTTTAAGTTTTGCCAGGAGTTCGTCGTCTATCGTTACCCTGAATGAGTTCTTGGGTGCGGCATCGACTAACGCTGCTACAATCGCACACATCGCTGGCTTTTCTTTGGGAGCGAATACTGTGATTGGGTGTTCTGCATGGTATGAGAAGGGGTAGCTTGCATCATTTTCTGCGTTTGATTGCTCATTCTTTTCGACGTATTTGTAGGGTAATCTAGACAGTGCGTCTGCAACAGAATTGTCCTCGCCCTTTACATACACAAAACGACAGTCGTAGATTGAAAGTTCCTCCATCCAACGTAACTGCCGCCGAGACATGTCTTTTTGTCTGTCAAAATTCAGGAGGGTTTTGTGGTCGGTGTACACTAGGAATTCGGATCCCAGTAAGTCTACTTTCCATCTTCGTAATGCGCGCATAATAGCGAGGAGTTCTTTCTCATGAACAGGGTAATTTAATTCGGGACCTTTGAATGTCATCGAATCATATGCCACAGGTCGTGCTGATTCCCAGGTTGGGCCGAAGGAAAGGACTGCCCCGGAAACTCTATCGCTTGCATCCGTTGTTACAAAAATTTTGTTGTTCCCCATGTTTTCATGATTAATTGACGTGAGGCATTCTCGTGAGGTTACGATTGCTTTTATTGTGTCAAATGCTAACTGGTGCTTTGGTAACCATTCAGGAAATTTCTTTTCAGCTTCTTTTGTCGTGAAAACAGATAATATATCACTTTGGATCGCTAATTTGGGTAAAAAGGCATTCAGGTAACGCACGAGACCAAGGAATGTGCGTGTTTCGGTGGCCGTAGTAGGTACGGGCCAGTTTTCTATCTTCTCTGCTTTCTTCTCATCTGCTTCAATCCCATCTTGTGAGATTGTATGTCCCAAAAAATTTACTCTGAAACAGAACAGCTTTGTTTTCTTCTTATTGCAGTATAGTTTCGCATCAATCAACGCTTGCAAAATCAACCGGACATTTCTCTCATGTTCTTCTATGTTTTGAGACCATACAACGATATCGTCCAGATATATATGGCAGATCTTTCCAAGGTATTTCCGCAATGCTGCTGTCACTCGACGCTGATGAATACCGGGGGCATTGCGATACCCCATGGGCATTACCGTCCATTCGTAAAGGCCAAAAGGTGTCGTGACTGCAGTTAAATGGATATCGTCTGGATGCACTCTTGTTTGAAAAAAGGAATCTGTCATATCGATCGTCGCCCATATCTTTCCTTTTGCACAATCTGCAAGGATGTCATCAACCCTAGGTAGAGGATGACTGTCAATGACCACATTTGAATTTAATTCTCTGTAATTGTTTACCCAACGCGGTAACGCTGTAGGATCTGACTTCGGAATGATAAAGGAAGGCGAAGCAAAGGAAGAGTTTGACAATCTAATCTTTCCTGAGTTTACATGTCCGTCTATGAGTGTCTTCCATGCTTCACGGTATTTGCGTGGACAGCCGTATGTTCTCTTGCTTATAGTTCTTGTAGCATCTTTTAATTTAATTCGACAGTAGACATCATCAGGTAACTCGTCGACATGCGGAATTGGTTCAAAAGTTTTGCTAAATTCTGCCTTCAATTTATCCTCTAGTGCGTTATATTTCTGCTGAAGTTCCAATGATTCCAATCTGTCTTTTACTGCTGCTACAAAATTAATTGCAATGAATTCATCATTGTCCCTCTCTATATCCATCATGCGGTCTAGTTTTCTTTTAATTACGCTGCACCTCCATTTCAGTTCCTTAAGTAGATCGCGATGTAGTAGTCTAATTTCGAGTCGCTTACGGCGCGGTGATTTCACACGACGTGCAATTTTACGAGGAGAGGGTACAAAGTTCAAAAGGTCGATTGAAGTCTCTTTTACAAAAGCGCTCGGGGATTCATGGTCTACGACAATACGGTTGTGTACGAGAAACGGAAGGCCTAACAGAATATTTGTGCAAAGTCCAGGGGCGATCACTGCGGTAACGGGTTTTGAAGTCCAGGAATTATCTAAGGTGGAAAGGGAGAGCGAAACGTAGTCCGATAATAATACAGGATTTGAATTCTTCTTTTTCTGATCATCCTTCATTGCGACGTTGATTACTTGTGGTTTACGGAGTTGCTTTCGTTCTAGACCAAGTTTCTCGACGACGTCAGGCCTGATGAGAACAATGTGAGCACCGTTGTCAATCATTGCTTTGACAGGAACCAAGAAACCATCACGCCCAATTGCGCGCGCATCCCAAAAGAGATTCGGGAAGGTCAAAGGAGGACTTACGCTCTCGTCAGAATCTGAATCGCCCAGCGCGACTGCGGAGGGCCAAGTCATTGCAACAATACCGGATTTTTCGTTCTCATCGTCCTCCTCATCCCCCGAGGGTTCACTTGATTCTTCGACTATAGCAGCGACGGCTGGGGCGCTGGTGATCGGAGCTGGACCTCGATTGAGGGGTTTACCCTTAGTGTTTGAAAGTCCGGTTCGGTCCGGTTTTTTGATGCCCAGGGGCGTTAACCGTAACCGTAACCGGTCTGCCTTTTCCCCAGAAGTCAAAAGACCAGACCGGACCGCAAAAAGACCGCAGACCGCGGTTTTTTGCGGTCTATAGACCGGTTTCGGTCTGCATCAGTTTTAACCGGTTTATGACCGGTCTTTAGGCCAATATTTTAAAATTATGAATCGGTAAATTTATTAACATCTCTAATAGCTTCAAAACGAGCCCAAGAACGTTAAATCCCGTTAGGTATTGGTGCTTCTATAAAATAAGTCTGGTACATCTATTATTCCCAAAAGTAATTTACATTTTAATTCATATCTCTCTCGTTTTTTTACCAAATCATACGTTCTTGGGTGCGTTTTAAAGGGTATTTAAGGGGCTACAAAAAACCGGTCCAAACCGGTCAAGACCGGTTCACGTTAACCGGTCTTTTTGCGGTCTTTACATTTCAAAAATAAAAGACCGTAACCGCAGGTCCGGTCTTTTGCGGTCTTGGTCCGGTCTGGTTACGGTCTTTTTCCAGTCACGAGACCGGACTTCCAAACACTATTTACCCTTGTTCTGACGACGTTTCTCCCATTCGGCCTTAGCTGTGGCGGCCATGGTAGGCGTAATCACGACATGAGTTTCAGGGAAGTCATTGTTACAATCCCGCCCGATGTGGTCCGTATACAAGCGTCGACACTTCAAACAACCCTTGTGTTCGTATATGAGGGCTCTTTCCTGTTCCGTTAGAGGTGGAAGTGTGTTGCGGGACCTATATGCGTTCTGCGTGTAAGGGTGTCGATTGTCTGCACCGCCGCTCGAGGATGCATTCGCCGTGTGAGGTGGACCCGAGAGGATCCTCTTCTTTTTCTCTTCTTTTTCGAGCTCCAAGGCGTAGCGCTTCATGTTCCGTTTGATAGCCTTGGCCATTTTGACGTCCGTTTCACTGATGAAGTTCATCCACTTTGGAAACGGAAGCACATTCAACGCTGCTAGCTCGGTGGGTGAATCCTCCAACTTCTCGCGGAGATCCTCAGTAATATTATTGAAAATCTGCTCCTTGATGCGTTGTTCAGACAAGTGTAGAGTGCTGCCCGCAAGAAGGTTGTTCAACGAGACCATATCCGTGCAAAAATTGTAGAACGGTTGATCGAGAGCCATACGCGCTGCCAGAATTTTTCGATGTGTTTCTTTCGCCCAGTCCGTAGGTAAAAACGTTTCGCGTAACTCGGACATGAATTCAGGAAATTTGAGAGAGTGTAAACGGACGCGGTTGTTTCTGATATATTCGTTGATGCGGTTGTTCTGTAGACCGCCGGTGACTTTTGAGACTTTCTTTTCGTCCGGAATAGGTTCCTTGCAATTAGCGAAGAAATCTTCGCACGCGTTTTCCCAGTCGAGTAGCGCGACCGGTGTTGTGACGCCATCGGATAAGACGGGCGCTACCTTGTGGCCGGGATGGCGTGCAACCGTGGCGATATTCGTAGAAGACATCCGGTTACGATGCGATACAACGACAGGAGAGAAGTTCAAGAGGGAGCTGCTCGTAGAGGAACTGGAACTGAAGTTGGGTGAATCTGGCGTGGGGCGTGGTATTGGGTTATTGGAGAGAACAGGAGGGGATGCAATTGAGAGTGGAAGTGGTGATAGGGAAGGGGAGCTCGTTTCGGCAGGTACAGATTTCTTGCGGACGCGGGTTGGAACGATAAGAGGAGGTTCAAGGTGTAGGCCTTGCTGTGCAACGTTCTTTCTCGTAGCGCGCCGGTTGTCCAGTATTGGAAAGAGGCTCTGTAACTGGAGTATGAGTGGGGGGGGCAAGTATATGCGTGCGTAAGGGACAATTACGACAAGGCGGGACTGGACTGGCGAGGGACACGAGTATATGCGCTTGTAATAAGACGCCTGGACCGGAACCAGAGTATATGCGTCGGAAAAAAACGCCTAGACGAGAAGAGAACTAGAGAGCGTTGAAAGCTCGTGAAATTCGCGTACTCGCTCTGTAAAATCGAATGTGTGTTGAGCTCTAGACTTTGTCGACAGTGAAGACCAGGACGAGTGGAAAGCACGGTTTGGATGGTGTTCAAAAAAAAGTGTAATACGGGACTGGATCACACGAGGAGTGAACAGTTCCAAATCGTGTATAAGAGGTAAAGTGAGGGTAAAAAGGAAGGAAGAAGACGAAAGCTAGAATGGATCTACTTATAGCTGGATGCATGTGTCAATGTGTGTAAATATGAGCAAATAGGTGTCCTTACACCGGTGTAAGGCTGTATTAGATAATACAGCTGTCTACACTACCTTATATATGCACCGGTAGGTGAAAGAGTAATCTTTCACTTATACGACCTTTTGGTGTAGTGGTTGCATTGCGGTGCATATGGCCATCTTACAGGGAGCGGCAACCCACTGCCAAATTTTCAACTCCGCCGTATTTTCCCATCACCAAAGACCTGATCAAAAAATGGTCGATCGTCTCAACTGCTCGTATTTACTTTGACACAACAGTAGATTGCCAATTTAAGTGTGGATATCTGTAGGTGGAGTATAAGTAAAGGTGCTCGTATACAATTTAGCTCAAAAATACAAATATTCCGTCAGTTAATATCTTAATTCAAGCCTTCCAAACCCCTTTATAAAATTCTGTCCCGAACAAATCCATCCTACGCTCCAGAAGTTTGTGCCTGCCAAAATTTGAAAGAATACCTCTACAGATGAGGTAGCAATCCACGACACGGGAATGGCATGGTAAGACGCGTTGATGATCACGTGTTGCAATAAAGAAAGTAACTGAAGCGCGACCAAAGCACGACTATCGGTGTCAGCAACGCGTTATCGTCACTACCTCTGCATATATTGACTTGTAAACCACAAGTATCTTATATCATGGGCAAAGAGGCTTGGAAACTGGGCTGGAAGTCACGATCGACGTTGCAAACTTCCCAGTCAATGACAAACCTTCGCAACATTCACTCCGACAACTTGGAAAACAGATCAGAACCAAACCGGAACACAATATGAATGTCTAAAGCTCAAACCAGCAGGAGCTTGAAGCTCAACTCAATGTGGGGAGTGAATAGGAAGGCTACATTCCAGAGCAAAATGCATCTGACATGTATAGTGACACAGATATAGAACTTGGCTACCAAATTCAATCATAATAGTATATTATATATCACCACAAACAATATAGACTTGTAAATTGGTCCCTATGTATCAATTAAAGTGAAATAACAATCGTCGACCACTGAATTCGACTATTTGGCGTGAGACAAACAGAACCAAACAGCACGATTTTATTGGCACGGTTGCCGCTCCCCACTAATGATACACCCAAAATGAGAAATTAACTTCAACAGATTTGAGCACAACCTTTCTCTACAAAAACTACATGAAAATCTCAGATAAATGCCCTTCTATGACCATACCAAATTTCAGAATATTTGACCCACATTTCACAGATAAAAACTAAGATTATGGGTGTATCATTGAGGGGTGTGACTGTATTTGGCTATTTCCAAAAAACAGTCCATTTTGTATGCTCCACAGCTTTGCCAATTCGGCCTCAATTGCATCCAAACTATGTATGGTGGTAGATATGAGTTTGTATTACTTGTTACAACTTGTTTTGTAAAAATTAGCCAAGTATTGAGCGAGATATTTGCTAGTCAAAAGTGTATCAAATGGGGGTGGTGTATCATTAAGGGGTGGATGACTGTAGTGGCTCTTCTCCATGGTGTTAGGGCAGCATGATTGGTTTGCCAATCCATCTTTGTCAAATAAAACATCCACTGGTATCATTTCAATTGTTGATCACCATACCCATCTTGCCTCATCATCACTTTGCAGTGGACTGTGGAAATCATTTATTGTTTCTGTTCCAGAACAGAGTTGTAACAGAGTTTTTGCTGTTGATTTTTGAACTTGAAGCTCACCCACTACTGAGCAGCTTTAGCAACCTCAACATTTGAGGAAGTGGAACTTCTTTCAAGTATGCATTCTCTTGTGTACTTTTAGATATAAAATATATCAGCTTTGAGTTTTCAGATAGATAACTACAGTAATTTGACTCCAAATCAACATCAAAAATAACCATGTGTTGATAGAACAAAGGTAGGATGTACCATTCATAAATCAATATTACAAGACAAGAGATGATGGGGAATGATTGTACCAGGAAAGAAGAAAGATTTAATTATACTGACTCCCAATACCACAGAAACAGCCTTTGATATACACTCATAAAGACCAAGCATGGAGGAAAATGGACTAAGTGTCCTCATGACCAGGGGATGGCAAACAAAATATGGAGAGTAAATTTATAATGTGCACCAAGGCATGAGCAGTGGCTTGTTATTGAATTAGTATATTTAGTAACAAAATATTATGAGTAAATCCCCTCCAGATGAAACTTAAATATTTAAATGGTAGATAGACATTCTCTGGAAAGTTCCATTCCCAGCAGGCTTGAAAATTCTGGGACCCTCTCTCCAATTGCTATCAAACTGATTTCCCTCTCATATCATACTTGAGTCAAAAGATATGAATCGGAAATTATGATGAGAATTAACTTCTGCTCAATTCTGAAGTGGACTCTGCTTACTTTATGAATTCAGATACCTTAATTGCATGATTTTTCAGGTATTAGCTTAAATAGACATATAATTAGTTCTAATTCTGCCTGTACGTGGAGCAGTGGCGAGGTTTTGCGCGACGTGAAGCAAGTGCGCAGTGTTGGTAGACAGCCAAATACTATATGTGTGTAGGTCACATGACCATTTATGGGTTGGGTTAGGGTTCCATCACCTCGGTTCATCAGAAATCGAATTTCGAAATTGAACCGCGGCGCTCCTGCCTACCGTAGGAGGGGGATCCTTTCGTGCACAGTTGTATGCCGAGCTAGAATATGATATCTTCGAGTAATAAATTTGGAACGAAGACAAGCACAGCGCCCCCGTTATTACTCCACAATTAAGCCTGGAGGCTGGAAGTAGATTCGAGACTCCTACAGTCATGGACAGCCAAAGTCAACTAATTTTATGATCGTGATATGAGGACCCTGCACAACCTTCAATAGTACTTTTTATTGCAGAAACGTGAAGATTAGGACTCAATGCTTTGATTTCCACACCTACGGTTACCACATCACAGGTCTAATTAGATCAGGTCACTCCTTGATTGACCCAGTCTAAGGGGAGGACTTTGATGTTTCCTCCCTCTGTCCAGTTAATTGTTGAATATCTCTTGGGGACTTCGACATATTTCCTTCCTACTCACTGGTAACAACAGCTCATTGCCGGTGTCTTCCCATGCCATTCCCAGGACCTTTCCCATGACCTTCCGCTCCCGCCCATCACGTCTATTTCAGGATCATCATCAATCTTCCCATCATGTCGTCTGTCCCTCCCCTCCCGCCGTCGTCTTACACAGCGAGCTTGCTGTCCCCCTTCCCTTTTGCCTTTAAATACCATAAAAATCACCATAAATTAGTATATAATGTTTGCAACAATATAAAGATCTAAGTTATAAGTGGGACCACTTCTACAACAAGGCAGAAGGCATTTGCTGCCTCTGCTGCTGCAAGTTCCTCCTCCTCCTCCTCCCCCCCTTCTTCCTCCTCCTGCTCCGGGTCCTGTGGTGTGGGTCTATTGAGGTTGTCAGCCCACTCAGTGACAGCGTCTAACGCAGTTCCAGGCGCTATGGTGCCGCAGAAGCCTGGAAAGATGGCAAGCTTTTCCAGCCAGTGCAAATGAAGGTCGTTGGATCGGATGAGTTTGAGGCGGCGGAGATGAAGTTGGCGAGATAATGGGGGGTCGGTGTCTCGTAAAGACTCCTCGTGCTGCAGAAGAAAGGCCTCCTCGTCACATATATACATGGTGAGCCGAGGAATTTCAACGTTGAGCCTTGCGATCTCCTCCCTGACTTGTTCCATCTTGAAATGCTGATCCATTAGAACCCGAGAAGCAGGTTTTGCCCAGACCTTGAGGCGCACATCTGAGCGCGTGTCGGAGAGAAGGTCGGAGTCGGAGAGGAAGGCGTACTCCACGATGTTGTCCCATGACAATGGGGCTCGTGGGGGAACGAGAGCCTGAGCGGCGACGTTGTAGTTTTGGAGGGCGGTGTGTACCGCCTTGGAACGTGACTTGAGGGCATTGCCTATATGTTTACGGAGCTTATACCCTGGTTATGACATTAGTGTTACATAGATAAAAGTAAGGGGCAGCCACACACCAGTTTGAGACATGTTCATTTTGGTGAGTTTGAACATTCGTGCCACAACGAGGCCCTCAAGTGAATCAAGGCACCTCTGGTACCTTCTCTTTCCCGCCATCTCTGCCGCTTGCTTCCATTCATCGTCGGCAGGGCCCCAGCAGTGCAAAACACCCATCCAAACTTCAAGGTTTTGCACGACGATCAGGTCCTTAGCCTCAATTTCCTGCGCGTGCCTTCTCTCGGTCTCCAGGGATTGTGTCTGGTCCCGAGTTTTTGTGATCGACTCAGGAGTGAGGACCATCCAGGCGTTCACCGCTGTTGCAAGCCGCCGTCTCGAAACAGGGTCAGCCAAAACACATAATCCATTGACAAGATATAACTTACTGGCTGGCTCCCAAATTTACCAGCTTCTGCCAATACTCCATGGCCAGGGTTTCGTGTAGACACTGTAGAGGCTCTCTGGAAAGGTCTTCCAAGTAAGTCTTTTCTTCGGCAAGCCATTCCCGGAAGACAGACGTATTTGCGATGCCTTGATCACGCATTTGTTTGATGAAGGCAGCTTCCCCATTCAGGATTCCGATGGCCTGCTTGTAGTTATTGATCAAGAATTCACCTAGATTAATGAAGTCAGCAACGACCAGAAAAACGGCAAGTTTACAGACTCAGGTTCTGGTATGTTTCATTTTGGTCCATATGTATCACGAACCCGACAATCCTTTGCTTGCGATTGAAAACCCCCGCATGGCGAATACCAGAGGTGAGCGCATTTGATTTAGAGAAGAAGCGCTCGCTGCCTTCGAGGTCTTCTAAACCCATTCCCTTGACGTAGGTGGCAAGGAAACAGAGTTGACATAGGCGGTTGTGTGCATGTCCATGAAAGCAGCCAACTAAGGCTCTGTAGTTGAGACCTTTGGCCCAGGGTCCGAGTGGGCTGCGGGAGAGCGTAATGCCGAATTTGCATCCAATATCATATCCACCTCCGATGTTGATTCCAAAGGCATCGAGCAGGGCTTTGACAGTTGCAAGAGGATATTTGGAGCTGTCGATAGCGGTCAGGGCCAATGTTCCACAGTGAAAAAAAAAAGGGCTTACAGCTCACCACTTTGCACCATATCAATGATCACCAGAACAAAACCATGGCGGCAGAAAGACAGGAAACCCCCTGTTTCGTCGTACATGCCTTGAGTTTTTTCATTCATGTCGTTTGCCATGTTCTTCCACCGGCCCTCGCAAGGAGTAGACTCCTCAGCCTTGCTTGGCTAGATGAGAACTGTCAAAAAAAAGCCGACCAACCATGAGAAAAAATCTCACGATGTCAGTGTCATTCTCATGCTCTTTTATCCATTCCAGCACAAGCTCCTGGCTCCAGAGGTCCACTTGCTCTCGTGTAATGTAGTACCCCGGTGCCACTGTCCTCTCGTCCTTGCGTTCGTTGGGCTGTCCGATCACTGGGGCTCCATCTCCTGGATCTACTGGTGGTGCTTTTCGACGTTGAACGTGTTTGAGTGAGTCGTTGCCATCCATAGTGACGAGGATGCTGAAGAGAAGCTTGGGTTCTTCAGTGAGCTTGTAGGTGCAAGCCGGACAGGTGTGACGAAGCCTCCAGCCTGGATCGTCGCGCTTGAGAGAAATTTGGATCCGTTGATCCACGCAGAGGAGAATGGCAAGGTAGACATCAAAGCAAATGGAGAATTGCTTGCGGAGATATGGGCGGAAGGGAACACCGTGGAGATCGCAGAGCGCCTTGACAAAAGAATTGATTGCGAGATGGGGGCAGCGGAGGCTGGCAATGCGGTAAAGCTCAAGGACATGTACGGTAATGGCAAGAGTTGCCAGATGTGGAGCACAAGGAATGATTCCTTCACATACAAAGGCGGCGGGCACACTGAAGTCGCCTTCACGCAAAGCAACCTTCCTCCTGCTCGAAGCTTAAAGGAAAATATTTCAATCAGCAACAAGACGACAGATGACGTCTGAGATGACAGAAACCAACTTACCATATGTATCTAGCACCTTAACAGGATAATATCCTTGAAGCACACAAGACGAAGAAGGGGGATCATTGTTTGCTAAACCTGCATCTCCTAAAGAAGAGAACCAAGCAAGGTAAGCATCCATCATTGCTTCTATCTGGACATCGAAAGCTTCGTTTCTTCGATGCACCTGATCGTGTCGGGTCCTGGTATCAACACAGCGCTTTCTAGAAAAGTAATAAGGGTTAGAAAAGTCTGAATCCGAGAATTCAAGCTTGCTTTGAGGTAGCCTTGACAGAATGTTCCACAAGCTCATAGAACTCACCTCCTTTGTGGCTAAGATCGACCACGGCTGTTCCTTCCAAAATGGAATCTACGTCCATGGCGTTGTAGGGCTCATCCTGCCAGTCGTCATTGACTGGTAGCTACCACTTACATCATGTACTCCTGAGCTGTACCATAGAAGTTCCTGCTTAGCTACCGTGAATGAAATGAAATGAATTTTCATTCATTCACGGCACCTGTTTCATTCTAGATAATTTATTCTGTTTCATTCATTCCTGGCGACTGTTTCATTTTTTTCTTTCATTCCACCAGGGCAACTGTTTCATTCCTTGCTTCATTCTTCTCAGGTGCCTATTTCATTGTTAGAGCTGGGAAAATGATTATGTAATTGATACAAAATATTTAAGTGCCTTATTTGGCAACAGCATGCCTATCTCATTGTGTATTTGAGCCTCAAATGCAAAAGTACCCCCATATGGCCTCCCACACCACTGCAGTACGGCACAACACATATCAGGCATAATTGTATATTATTTCCTTATTTAGATGTGTGTTAAAACATCGAAATTGTTGCCTGAAAGAATGAAACAAAAATGAAATAACTGCCTGGAAAGAATGAAATGAAAATTCCATGGCAATGAATGAATGAAAAAAATGAAACAGTTGCCAGGAATGAATGAAACGAAAGAATAAAGCAAAAAATGAAACAGTTGCCATGGTGGAATGAAATTAAAAAAATGAAAGAGTCGCCAGGCATGAATGAAACAGAATAAATTTCATTCTTGTCAGTAGAAATGAAGAAAAAATTGAGATGAAATGAAATGAAACAAAAAGTATTTCATTCTCGATGGCAATGAATGAGAATGACTTGGAATGAAACAGGTGCCGTGAATGAATGAAAATTCATTTCATTTCATTCACGGTAGTTAAGCAGGAACTTCTATGGTACATGCCAGGTTTTACATGATGTAAATGGCAGCTACTAGTGCGTCATTGGCTTCGAGCTCTCTAAGATGGTCAAACTTTTGTCGTTGTGCGTCATCCATTGTGAGCATGCGATCAGTGAGATCCTGTTGTCCTCGTTCACAGTATTTCAGAGCTTGCGACGGTGTCATGACTCTTCCAGAATACTTCACACCATTGGATGACGTGCCACAGATACAAGTTCCTTTGCGGGGCGGCATAATGGAGTGGTGCCAGTCACAAGTATGTGACACTGCTGTTGTGATTGTCACTTCGCTCATGAAATTGTCGAAATAGAGGGCCCCATGTAATACCATATCATTTGTAGATCATTCTGAGTAAATAGAAAAATGTGCAGTTCTAGAAAGATAATCAATGAACCAACTGACATTTGAATTTCCACTCAGAATAACAATATGCAATTTATTGAAGGGCTATGTATGGTTGATGTATGGCCTTTATGATTAACTCAGAACGAAACCTTGATGCCATCTTGTACATTCGGAGCACCTTTTGCATTATCTCAATCACCTACCTCACAAATTCTTTTATTTTAAGCAGGTTTTGAAGGGAGGAATGTCAGTATTCCAAAGATCTTTTTTCCCACTGTCTAGAATATATAGTGTGCAAGTTCTTCTCGTCTTCACGACGCTTCCTCAAAATACCCAGATTTTCATAACCTCCAAAAATAGCAAAAGTAAGCTTGTCCACTACAAAGTAACCTGGGCCATCTATTGGAATCATAGATTGAATGAAAAGTTAATATTAGGTTGTTGCCAGAGCTTGCCGGCTTCAGATTAAATAAAAGAGATTATTTTATAGAGTGCCGACAAATGGTCTCCTAGTCTTGAGGATAAATACCCAGCCTCGCAAAGATACATAGAGTCACATATAATTCCCGGAACATAAGTCTTCATCTTCATTCTTTTTATTTAAATCTCCCTGATTCAACGGTGAGGTGAAAAAGGAAATAGATCTCCACAAGCTCAAGCAGATCGATTTATTTATTCAAAAGCTGAAATTAGACAGCCTTGAAGGCTTGCATCAATGCCGGAATATCCGCAGCCTTGAAATTGCTTCTTTGATATGGTTCAGTAAAAGCGTCGGTCACTGTGATGTCCCAATATGGTAAGAGCGCATGTTATTTTCAACAATCAACAAGTCATCGGAAATCCATTGACTTTTCTTATACTCAAATCTCCAGCCAAGTTCAATGGGGACAAATATAATTCATGTTATGTGTTAGGAACAGAGACAATAAGCTACGACGGTCTGGACTGGTACTACTCCAAGCGCTCAATATTACCAGTCATCGACTGTGCAACAAACATTGCATCAGCATCGGCTTTCTTTGCAACCAAGCAACAAAGACCGCGGGGGTCGGTACCAAGAGCAGCAAGTGCAGACGCACTAATTTCAGATGTCAGAGGGCTGAAAGAGGAAGTGTAGACAACGAACGTGGTAGAATAGACACCAGGCACCTTCCCGCGGACAACGACATAGTAGGCTGTGATGCACAAGTTATCCATCACAGCTACAATAGCAGCCAGATGAGCCTCTGAGCCGCGAGAGGATGGTGGATCCGATGAGATGTTTGAGGAAGAAGCTGATGCTATCGGCGAGGTAGGGGTGGTAAGATTGGTAGGGAGGGGAGTCGGGGTAGACGGAGTAGTTCTCGTTACCTGACGAGACGGCGTGGACGGTACTACCACAGTAGTGGTGTTCGCCATCGTGTTGTGGTGTACTTGCCTCCTTGGGGTGTTGGGCGGCCCAGCATGTGGCCCTACTGTTTTATTGGACACAGCATATTCCCATGCAGCAATGGCCGCTGGGATATTCGAGAAGCCTTCGTAGACACTCCCAGGGAAAGACTTGACTTGTGATGCTGCCGAACTCCTAACTGATCAGAATAAGTATAAAAGAAAGACGACGTGACAAACCATTGTGTGAATACACCTGTCGTTCTGCCATAGTAAATGTTGTAGGCGACTTTCCCCTTTTTCGATGAACGGGGTGGGATGTTGCTGGTGCCGCCTTGAACACTCTGCTCGTCTTCCAAGTCAGATACATCATCTCCTATGACGTTGCCCATTTCAGGGAATGACGGGCCAGCTCTGATTTGGTCGTTGAAAGGGGCATGTCAAAAGATGGAAAAACAAAGAATAGCAGGGAGGCCTTACCGAGAAATAGCATGAGAGGGAAGAAAGTCGTAACAAAAGTTTGGAGGCGAGTCACGACTGAGGGGGAAAGGAAGGTTGGTTGGTTTTGCTGAGTTCTAAAATTGGTTTGAACTGTCATGTTCATTGTTGCTGTATGTGATGAATGTCATGTGACAATTAAGTCCACCGCTGTGTGGTGGTCTATGGTGCATTGTCGACGTGATGCACATTCTATGTTGAGCATCAAAGTCGCCCCAGATAAATTAAAATAAAATTCAATTCTATCTTGAGCTCAACATGGATCTTTGCTTGCTAATTCACTCGCCTTCTCCTACGCCTTCGAATCACGTGCCTGTTATCACCTCTCAACCTCCCCTCGTTGACATTGTCCTCCCTTCTGAGCTAGGTCCCACGGTTATTCTTCCAGGCCTTTCACCACCTGCGAATTCATCCCCACCACTCTCAGCTCTGTTCATTACACAGCCTGAGCAACCAGCCAGACCCTTGATGACAATCCCTCCAATTCCTTCGTCCTTGAACAGTGTAGCAACTCTATCATCAACCCGAGTTTTCGTTGACACAGGAGGTGCTACCTCCTTTGCAGGACGACATCCCCTGAAGGACGTACAAGAACCGAGGTTTCGAGTACGTGGATCCAAGACCGACGCAGCCAAGTTACATGAGGCCGTGAAGGTGGCAGAGAGGGCTGAAAAAGCGAGCAATTTGAGAGATGGCGTCGATGCCATTGTCAAGAGTCAAGACAGCGAGATAAAAGAACTCTCGGAACGCCTCTGCGTTACTGAGAAGACCATCCGTAACCTTGTCAATGGAGAGACCCACTACAAGAAGCGCTGTGAACCCAACACCTTCAACGCACTTGTTCATATGGCATCGAATGAGATGAATTCCGGTAATGTTGGCCTCACTCTTCCTCTTTGGCAAGCTCACTAATACTATTTATTATTTCCCCGCAGACCTTGGCCCTGGTGACCGCCACACCCTCAAAGATATCCAGGAGACAGTGAGACATGGAATGGACAATGACGCCTTCTCAAAGAGTCACATAAGCGAGGCTATGCAAATGCTCAAGGATTCCCGAGAGGTCAGGACCATGGGCTCAAGATCAAGTAACACCACAGCCTATGCTGATGCTAGAGCGATGGCCGCGTCAATAACAGACAAGGTAAGCCCTTCCTGCGTCTACAGTCTATGTGTCCTCTACTAACCCTTGATGATGTTACCAGATCATGAACTTAGGCATGCGAACGGGCGTGACGGGCATTGCCCTGTTTGCGAAAGGCCACATTCACGATGACTTCGCCGACACCATTGTGCAGTTTAATGACTCTGCAACATTTTTTCTCGACGTCTTCAACATGGAGGCCGTGGACGTGTGTAGCAAGTTTCAGCAGTGGGTCTGCAACCAGAAACAAAGTAAGCTCTGCAGATTTTCCGTGCCATGCAGCTGGTTGACTTCATACCTCCATCCCAGATTTCAAGGTGCCTGACAACCTTCAGACCGCTCAAAACGAATGTGCCACTCTGATAAAGAGGGGACTATGTAAGTACTTAAATGTGAATGCCTCCCCGAGACTAATTTAGATTCTATAGGTATGATCACCAACATACCAAACCTTGGTATGAACTACTTGAACTACCGAACCTCCATCGTACAGAAACACCATGTCCAGCTACTGGGCTGGCCTGCCGGAATCCCTTTCGTAAACCCTCATCAGCTCACCACCACCACCACTGCTAGGGAGCTTCAAAAGGCCCTTACTGTATCGACATGCAAATGGGTGACCCTGTCCAAGCAACAATGACAAGAACACGCCGCCGCACTGGAGGTTGACATTGAAGGAGGACAGTCAACCGGTAAGAAGCGCAAGCAGCGGTCGGACAAAGGAAAGAAGCGGAAGCACACCATGGCTACTAACGACAAAGAAGATCAGGAGGATGAGGAGGACGAGGACGACAACCAGGAGAATGAAAGACCGGGGCCCACCAAGAAGCACAAGTCGGCTGCAAGCACCAAGAGATCCACGGCTGCAGGCAACAAGTCCAAAGCTGCTGGGACGTCAAGGAAATCCAAGGTCACCCCCTCCGCGGCGAAGAAAGCCAGTCGCATTCTGGGGACGCTCCCGCCTGCTGCTCCAAAAAGCAACGAATTCATTGACACGGAAGAGGAGTCCGATGGCTGAAGAGCCAAGTTCTTCTGTTGTATACCTACCACCTAATTACATTGCCTTCATACCACCTCCCTTGTAGTTTACCTCGTAGTCTTTTGATACAACCGTGACTGGCATGCAAACATGATTATGTGAGGGCATGTTTGAACCCAACAAGATAGAATAAGAACATAATGACATTGAACATTGTATACTAATTTATGGTGATTTTTACGGTATTTAAAGGCAAAAGGGAAGGGGGACAGCGAGCTCGCTGTGTAAGACGACGGTGGGAGGGGAGGGACAGACGACATGATGGGAAGATTGATGATGATCCTGAAATAGATGTGATGGGCGGGAGCGGAAGGTCATGGGAAAGGTCCTGGGAATGGCATGGGAAGACACCGGCAATGAGCTGTTGTTACCAGTGAGTAGGAAGGAAATATGTCGAAGTCCCCAAGAGATATTCAACAATTAACTGGACAGAGGGAGGAAACATCAAAGTCCTCCCCTTAGACTGGGTCAATCAAGGAGTGACCTGATCTAATTAGACCCGTGATGTGGTAACTGTAGGTGGATTTCCACGAGCCAATTTTTCAAAATCGATGAAATGAGAAAATTTACCCCAAAAATATTGGCCGACCCTTAAATGGACCCCTAAAATCATGAAAAATAGCACAATTGACTTCTTTTTTAAAGCTGCATCTGATCCTGGACTTTGGTGGAATTCTGATGAGCCGTTTTTGTAGAAAAAAATGATTTTAAACTACCGAAAATGGCAATTCAGGGTCTTCCCACCCCTTTGGACCCTCAATAAACCCTGTCTCTTTGACCCCCCTCCCCTCCCCACCTTTAGCAAATTGTATATCATTGATTTCCAATCAGAATTATAATGTTTGGCAAGAGCCACTAAATTTTTCAGTCACCTCTGGCATTGGGAGCCTGCCAAGGGGGTCTCAAGAGCCGCTGAAGAGCCCTACTAAACGACAAAAATAGTCCAAAATTTTGGCCAACCCAATTTCTCGTGGGAAAAACTTCAAAGAGGTGTTTTTGGACGTATTTTCACATCCTGAGTTCGAATCTGAAGTCAGAATGTCAAAATGTTTAGTCCTTCCCAAGATATCAATTTTGTTGACTTTGGCTGTCCGCGACTGTAAGTACTTACATAGGTGCATCAACTGATGATCCTGACTCCTGAGCGCGAGCGCTGACAGCTGCTGACAGTGAGCGCTGAGCAACTCCGAGTCCCTAGTCCCTGCAACTCCGCAGTACTCGCATCACCAAGCACTGCGGGAGTGGGCTTGTATATCCATCGGATATATCCTGAATAAGTCGTGATTGACCAATCAGAATGCACCGATCACGACTTATCCAGAGAATAAACAAGCCACATCCCCGCAGTGAAGGCAGCAAATATGGCTGACCAATGCCGTAACATCCCGACGGTACATTTATAGAAAGCTATAAAAGCCTCCCAACTTTCAAGGATTTTTCCTTACCGACGTGAGCTGGTTCTCTGTCCGTCACCTACATAAATCCGTGCAGCGCACTCGCCTTTTCTCGTTTTTCTCGACAAACTATCTTGACTACCTTCCCTACCCCCTCATTCTCTCCTCACTATGCAACCGAAATTCCTCGCCCTTGTGCCCCTTGTGTCCCTCCTGGCCTCTTTCGTCGCTGCGTATCCATCCATCGACGCCGCGGCATTAATGGTACGCGCTTCCCTCTGACTAAGCCAATTTCTTTGCGCTAACTTGCCCAAGGAACGTGGTTACGATGAGGGGGAAGGCTTGATGTTCGCTCGCGAGTACGACTTTGCTGACGCCCTCGAAATGCGGGACTTTGACGAGCTCGAAATGCGGGCCTTTGATGATGAGCTTGAAACGCGTGACTTTGACGACGAGCTCGAAATGCGCGGCTTTGATGACGACCTCCTCGAGATGCGAGAGTTTGACGAACTCGACGCGCGTGACTTGGAGGACCTCTTGGAGCGTGGTCTGTACGTGTCATATCCCCTGTGTCGCGTCGCTTGAAGCGTTGTCGCTTATTGTATGGATATCCCCAGGTTCAGCAAGTCCACCCCTGAAGAGAAGAAGCAGAAAGAGGAAGAGAAGAAGAGGAAAGCATTGATAAAAGCCAGCAGGACCGAGCAGAAAACGATCGACAAAGCTAATGCGAAGTCGTCGCTCAGCATCCAGTGTATCAACTGTGGGAGCTGGGAAGGGAAGATTACGGCTAGGATCCAGAAGGCGTGGAAAAGCGACGCCAATATCAAGAAGTTTGAGAACTGTCAAGCGACGTAAGTTTTTCCGAGAAGCCTTGGTTTGATGTCGATCTGATTTGGCTTCTGTGGAATAGGACGAAGGATTATAATGGAGGCCAGATGATTACAGCTCGTTACTACAACGGCAATAACCTCCTCAGTGGAGGGACTGTCACGTATATGATTTAGCAATGACTTGCTTGAGTATGTACTTGCGAATAATTGACTTCCGTTTCTCCACTGTTTTTCCATAAGCTTTTGTCGCTCAGCCACGTGCTCCTCAATTTGGCACGTCTCTTTCTTCATCGATTACCATGCGCATCGCGACCTTCAACATCCGCTATGACTGCAAGCCTGACAACATCAGTATTCAACAGTCCCTAGATGCTTTACTCAACACAGACCCTCTCAAAGAAGTCGCATTCCAGAGCTTGAAGGGCGAACAACCATGGAGCGCCCGCCGAATCCGCGTCGCTAACCATATTCTCGACGAGGGGGCAATCCTGGCTGGTCAGCCCCTCCTTCCTTCTGTCCAAATTCACAGAAACTGAACTGCGTCTCAACAAATATTTGGATAGCTTTCCAAGAGGCTTTATTCCGCCAAGTGACCGATGTTGCTGAGCTGCTCGGGGACGGCTGGGCATGGGAGCGTAGTCATTGGCAACTACTGTAATTTAAGGTTATATTGAATTTTTTCACAGGTCGGCGTCGGTCGTGACGATGGAGTCAAAGCGGGAGAATTCTGCCCTATTTTCTATAAAACGTACATCCATCCTCGCATTTTAAATTCACTTCGCGCTTCTTGACTGATCTTTCATTCAGGTCTGAGCTCCAGTTGATCGCGAATGATAATTTCTGGCTCTCGTATGTCAGCCCGCTTTCGTCATTGGCAGGAAATAAATGAAGGCGTGATTTCAGTGAAGCTCCCTTCGAGCCATCAAGATACCCAGGCGCTGGATGTCATCGCCTTTGTACAGTAGCGCGGTTCGGGTTGGTTTCTAACCCTAGTCAAACGTTTACGCTATTCAACACACACCTCGACCATTACTCCGACAAGTCGCGCCGTGTAGCTGCGTCACTCCTGCTGACTCGAGCCCGATTTGACGCCGTAAATACTGCAGCCCCCGTTTTTATTGTGGGTGACTTCAATAGGTACTCATTCCATTTTATCCTCAATGGGCTTTGTAAAATCTACCTGAATGATCCCCAACAGCACATCTACGGGATCAGATTCAGGCGGGTATAAAATCACCACGGGCGCGTCTCCACCTCTTCCCGTCGACTCGGCGTTCGCCAAGAAATATAGCGTGAGGCAGGACCAGCTGCCTCACTTTCGTATGTTGGATTTGCGTGCGGAGACACTGCGACAGAATGTTTCTGCCAATTTCGCAACGTTCACGGGATTCAGAGGGCCAAGTGATACCTCGGACTGGTCGCGCATTGATTTTATTTTTGGAGGGAGTAATAAAGGATGGTGAGTTTTCTTTCCTTGACGGCTGGACGTCGGGGATGAGGTTTATTTTCTTACGGCCCGGGCTTTGTAGGACCTCTAATTCTTATGTGGTTCAAAGTGTGTTGTCGGATGACGGGATGCTGGCTAGCGATCACCGCCCAGTTTTTGCGGATATCACTTTCCTGCCAGCGCCTTGATGAGAAGGCGGGGAGCGGTGTTTGGTATGTCTTTTATTTTTGTACCTATCGCAGGTCATTCTAACGAGAATCAAGGCGAAACTTAGACGTTCATTGTCTGACACTATTGAACTCAGGCTGTTTGTGAATTGAGGATGAGTGTTACGTGCGCCAACAGAATGAATACACGCAGGTCAGTTTTTGAGGAAGAAGAAAGGGTTGAACACGGTTTCGAGGAAGCGGAAATAACAGAGTGAGGAAATGATTTCAAGAATTGCAGACCTTGTCGCAGAAGGCAAGTAAGGGACGTGTCTGATATTTATTCAAGAACGCAGAGGTTGAAAAGGTGAAATGGGCTGTCGCGCGGTGGAAATAAGTACGCACGGACAGGCTAGCCCTGTTCAAATCCGGTTGGCCGGTCCAGAATAGTGTTTGTGACTCCAGAGAGGAGGGGGGTTTTGGCGCACTTCCAAATGCCAAACCGGATTATGATACGTCCGAGAGATAAATTTGGATCTCTGCGCATGCATAGGTCGGGCTAGGTACCTCCCAATCTCCTGATGTTCGACACGGCTACCTAAAGTCTGTATAGCCCTCACAGATTTCAAGAATATCCACATAAATAGATGTACAATACACAGTTGTGACATATATCAGTTGACGGAAGTTAACATCATAATACAGCCTACAGTCGCAACATCAAACATAATTTGATTCCCTGAAGCTCTTCCTATATATCTGAAAATCTCTACCCTTAATAATGATGAGGCGGTTGGATTTGCCAGTACGGTACATTCGGGTCACCAATGGGCAACGCCTGAATAACGACCTAAAAGCACGAGGATTCAGCCAAAGCGGAAAATAACAGAGAATGGACGCGTACTTGGGACTCGTTGTTAGCGGAAACGTAATAGTCAACGCCGACAGCCTTGGTGACTGGTCGAATGCTTAAAATATGATAAGGAGGCATGCAGAAACAATTGAATATAATACATACGTGTAGGAAAAAGGACGACCATTTTCCAGGGGGGTGATATGCCATTCCGCAATGCGCTCTCTAGAAGTATCGATGGGGCCCTTGGGGACAACGGAATCGTCCTTCAAGCTCCAGCCTTCACGCGCCACAAACGTATCGATATAAATATTGTATACATCTTGCTTGCCTTCTACGGCATATATATTCCACTAGCGGCAGAAGCGTATCAGAAACGTCGAGGAGAAACGCAAAGTACTAACAATTTGCCGCTCAGCAGTCGAAGTGGTTTTCTGAGTAATTGTAACGATCTCGTTGAGGCCGTTGTCGGTGGCATAGTATTCGACAATGGGACTTGCTTTCAGAGTGTACTGTCCATCAGAGATAGTCATGGCTGTAAATGTTTAACAAAGTGTTCGGGTTTAAAATGGAGGAAGTGATGATCCTAAGATTCGAAGCTATCTGGCTTTTATGTTTCCTTGAATGGAGGAGGGAATCTTTTCGTGCACCGTTGTGGCATGTCAAGTCGGAATTTGACATCTCCGAGTGATAAATTTGGAACAAAGACAAGCCCAGCGCTCGCGTTACTCCACAACCCAACGTTCGTAGAAGTAGATATGAGTCGTCACATGGACCAAAACTTACGTGCTAGCTGACATGGAATGCTGACGGATAACCTGATAATCGCGGAATTTGACGAATGGCGTTTGAGGTGGTATGAAGTTCCATGCCTTTCCGGAAGAAGATCGACAGTGACTCGACAATGGAAAGCGAGAGTCCGTTATTTAGAGGTAAAGGACTCTCCGAGTGCACTTGTGGGGGAGTACCAGGATGTGAACTTCTTGCACTGCAATGATAACGTAGACGCCAGGTCTCGATCATTACGTCCGGCGAGCTGGTTGAAAATGATCGTCATACCGGTCACAAGGTCAAGTGGTAGCGTTCTCCAGGATTTTGGTTCCCGATTCAGCGCTACGAATCGGACTGCGATGGAATCACCTGAGAGCTTGTGGAAGTTTGTGGAATAGAGGTTGTTGTTGTACCTTATTTTGACGCATGCAATTATAGTCGGCAAGTCCTACGGTCAGCCTACAGTTGTTTAATCGTTCAATCGTTCAAAATAATCTTCAAGATTGGACAAAGATCGGAGGTGTTGTTTTTGAAAAAAAAGAACATGCGGACAATATTTACTGAACTCACGAAAGAACAGTCGAAACGCGGAAGCTGTAAGGCTGTATTAGATAATACAGCTGTCTACACTACCTTATATATGCACCGGTAGGTGAAAGAGTAATCTTTCACTTATACGACCTTTTGGTGTAGTGGTTGCATTGCGGTGCATATGGCCATCTTACATTAAGTGAAAGATTACGGCTTGTCAGCAGGTTGGCGGTTCAAACCGAGCGGGTGGCAACATTACATTGCCAGCAGGTTAACCTCACCAACTGTAGTCGTAAGTGACAAGTTGCAGGGTGTGATCCCCTGGGGTCACCTATATGGTAACTCCCCACAACAACTAGATATCGGAAGGTCCCGGTTGATGTTATAGAGTGGGGGAGGGTGTAAGGCTGTATTAGATAATACAGCTGTCTACACTACCTTATATATGCACCGGTAGGTGAAAGAGTAATCTTTCACTTATACGACCTTTTGGTGTAGTGGTTGCATTGCGGTGCATATGGCCATCTTACAGAAGCCTGGCGACCGTGACATCGACGTTGCATCGACGAGGAAATTATATATAGTTTATAGTTCTTCTCGCCATATCAACTGGATATATCGTTCTGGAAACAGTTATAGGAGGTTGTCACATTGACTCACAAAGGCGGAGTGCCCTTGTGTATCTATTTTTCAATTCTATATCCAAAAGAAAATTCACGGCTGGAGATAGTACTGAAGAAGCAGTGAAGAAAGCCTAGGCTTCGAAAATACGCCTGATCACATTTTATTCAAATGTGATCAAGGAGTCGGTCGGGTTGTCACATGAAAAACGGAAGGCTGAAGAGCGGTTGCCTGGGGGGGATCCGACGGAATTCTGGGTCTTTCAAGTTCGACACCAGTGACACCACTGGAAGTCACGTCTGCATAGCCTTCATAATTTTCGATAATATCCACTCGCCCAGACGTATCATACAGAGTTTTAACATTGACATAGATCAATTGACGAAAGTTAAATACAATATAGCCCATAAGAGTCGCAACATGAGTCATAATTTCGGTCCCTGGAGCTCTTGCTATTCGTCTGAAAATCTCTACACAATCGGAGGCGGTTGAATTTGCCAGTACGGTACCTCCTTGTCAGTTAGGGGCAATGCCTTGATAACGACCTAAAGACACCAGAGGAGTCAGACAATGCGGAGGATAACAGAGCATGAACCGCATACTTGGCCCTCGTTAGTAGCAGCATAATAGGCGGCGCCAACGGCCTTGGTAACTGCTCGAATGCTGGAAATACTTTGAGGTGACATGCAGAAACAATTCAATGACACATACGTGTGGGCAAAAGGACGGCCATTTTCCAGAGATTCGATATGCCATTCGGCAATGTGTTCTCCAGAAATGATGGGGCCTTGGGGGACGCTGGAATCGTCCTTCAAAGCCCAACCTGCACGCCCTGCAAACGTGTGGACGGAGATATGGTATACACCTTGCTTGCCTTCTACGGCACGGATATTCCACTAGTGGCCGGAACGTATCAGAAAACGTCGAGGAGATGCACAAAGTACTTGCAATTTGCCTCTCAACGGTCGACGGGTTTCTCTCGGCGACAGTAACAATTTCGTTGCGGCCGTTGTCGGTGGCATACACTTGGGCAAAGGGAATTGCTCTCAAATTGTACAGTCCATTGGGGAGAGACATCGTTGCAAATGGTTTAGCAAGGCGAGGGTGTGATGATCCCAACCTTAAAAACAGCTAGCTTTTATGCTTTTCAGAGAAGAGGAGGGAACCTTTTCGCGCACGGTTGCATGCCAAGCCGGAATATGATATCTCCGAGTGATAAATTTGGAACGAAGATAAGCGCAGCGCCCGCATTACTCCACAAATCAGCCTGGAAGTAGATACTGGAGTACAATTCGTCACATGAACCAAGACTTACGTACTAGCTGGCGTGGACTGCCGACAGATAAACTGAATTTGACGAATGGCGTATGAGCTTGGGTTGAATTGACTCGACGCTGGCGAGCGAGACCTCATCAAAACGAGACAAATAGCTTTCTTGTGTGCAAGTGCTGCGGAATACCAGGATGTTAACTTCTTGCACGTAGACGCCAGGTCTTGATCGCTAGTGGGCGCAAGTTGGTTGAGTGATGATTGAACTGATCGTCATACCTGGAAAAATTGGTCACAAGGTCTAGTGGAGCGTCATGCGAAGATAAAAATAATCCAGCGCTACGAATACGATGGGACCATTCACCGAATCACCTGAGAGCTCGTGGATGTTTGTGGAATGAAGGTGTTGTACTTTATTTTGACGCACGAACTTACATGATCTCCAGTCTTCAAGCAGGCTTCAAGCTTCAAGTTTGATCCCACAGTTGTTCAATCTTTGAAATCAGGCCTATTTTCAAGATTGGACATGTTGCTTTCGAAGAAAAATACAGGCGGAAAACTTTACTGAGGGCTTTGAGCGAAAGCACAGTCACAGTCGAAACATGAAAGCCTGATTAATTACAAGACGATTCGGAAAGTCTCGTCGTCCCCGAAGTGGACAAGGCGAGTCGCCCGGATGTCCACTCGATAGATAGATACCTTCAATCTTTCGTACTTACACCTACAAATCCATCAGCACTGGAAGGTCTTGTTTCGAGCACATTTTCATAATTCCGATCCTGTATCCCTCACTTGAGATCTGCTGTGAAACCTCAGTGCGTGCGGGGACTTCGTGCGATGGAGTCTCGTAGTACCGTAGTAGCTTGTCATAGTGTAGTGTCGATGAATAGAAGTAATTGGAGAGAACGCGACTGTTGAGGTCGCGCTCGTCTCCTAGGGTTGCCTAGAAGTCCTAGGCAGACCCTCGTTAACCCAGAGGACGGGCTCTCGTATCCTGTGGAGGAGGGAGCATTGTACAGGGCGCTCACCCTTTGGTCTTACCAGCAGTGGACATAGGACGCTGATCACTGAGCTTGGTAGCAAGATAGTGATGGTTTATGTCTAAGTGTGCTAATGCCAATACAAACAGATATAAGTCAAGTATTAGTAAGCGGGGCTGCGCGTATCCTCAACTCCGTATTACAGTGCCCCCCTGCGCGCAGACTCGAATTATCCAGACTTGAATGACTCCTACCGTCGCCGATCCCTCCTCTTGCCCTTTCCTGCCGGTTTCTTGCCTTCCTCGATCCTTCGCTGGTCCTCCTCATGCTGCTTCCTGCCTGATCTACGACTCCTTCGTGCACGACTAGTGGGTGTGGGCCTATCCTCCTCTGGAAAATCGTCTTCCCCGTCTTCCAAGTTCACAGCCAGCCGTTGTTGCAGTGGTACTGGCGGAATGCTTTGTAGAGGCCCGGAAGAGGACCCTTGAACGAATTCCATAGGTGGCCCTTGAATTCGCTGCATTAAGGAAGCGGCAGGTGGTTGTAAATGCTCAACTAAAGGCGTTGGATCCCGTAATCGTTGCGCTAAGGGAACTGGTTCGATGCGAAGCGAGTCTACCGCGGATGGCGATCGGAGACGACCTAATAATGATGGCGCTATCGGTGCAGAAGGATGCTGAGACGAGTTCCCTTCTCCAGTCGACGTTGAAGGACGACCACAAGAGGCGCAATTATGACAGGAGGCGCAGTTGTGTTGCGGCATCATAGGAAATCCCAGAGGGGGCCAACCCGATAGTGAAGCATGCTCTGAGGGATAGTAACCAGGGTAATGAACGGACCACGGCGGAGGGGCTGATGGGTTCATACCCCAAGGCATATAACCAGGAGGGGGGCCCCACGGTGTCGGGTTTAAACCAGCGGAGAACGTGTTGGGAGCTGACCACACTAGTAGCTGCCATTTACATCATGTAAAACCTGGCATGTACCATAGAAGTTCCTGCTTAGCTACCGTGAATGAAATGAAATGAATTTTCATTCATTCATGGCAACTGTTTCATTCCAAGTCATTCTAATCTATTGCCATGGAGAATGAAATACTTTTTGTTTCATTTCATTTCATTTCAATTTTTTCTTCATTTCTACTGACAAGAATGAAATTTATTCTGTTTCATTCATTCCTGGCGACTGTTTCATTTTTTTAATTTCATTCCACCATGGCAACTGTTTCATTTTTTGCTTTATTCTTCTGTTTCATTCATTCCTGGCAACTGTTTCATTTTTTTTTTTCATTCATTGCCATGGAATTTTCATTTCATTCTTTCCAGGCAGTTATTTCATTTTTGTTTCATTCTTTCAGGCAACAATTTCGATGTTTTAATACACATCTAAATAAGGAAATAATATACAATTATGCCTGATATGTGTTGTGCCCTACTGCAGTGGTGTGGGAGGCCATATGGGGGTATTTTTGCATTTGAGGCTCAAATACACAACAAGATAGGCATGCTGTTGCCAAATAAGGCACTTAAATATTCTGTATCAATTACATAATCATTTTCCCAGCTCTAACAATGAAATAGGCACCTGAGAAGAATGAAGCAAGGAATGAAACAGTTGCCATGGTGGAATGAAATAAAAAAATGAAACAGTCGCCAGGAATGAATGAAACAGAATAAATTATCTAGAATGAAACAGGTGCCGTGAATGAATGAAAATTCATTTCATTTCATTCACGGTAGCTAAGCAGGAACTTCTATGGTACAGCTCAGGAGTACATGATGTAAGTGGTAGCTACCAGTCCTGACCAAGGGTTTGCGTTAGGCAACTGCACCCAAGGGCTGGAAGGGTTATTGCTTGTAGACCAAGCGTTAGGAGTGGGCGTCGGCGGTTGGAAGCGGGGACGGTTGCTTTCCCGAACATTGTGGGATGGTCGAGGACGGTAAGAATCTCCTCTCCTTCGGGGAGGAGTTGGAGAGCGAGATAACGGACGCGCATGCTTACGACCGCCACGTCGAGAAGGGCTCCAGCGAGGGGCACCAGGTGCGGGCGCACTCGTTGAGGGTTCGAAGGCGGCTCGATGTCTTGGGGAGGGAGTTGGCGAAGGCTGTTTGGGAACGGATACAGTAGGGGGTGGGACTGTCGGTGACTTAGGAAGGCTCCGAAGAGGAGAGGGCACGTCTCCCAGGTCCACAGTACCCATCTCTACGTCTTCAGCAGCCTCGGATGGTATGTGCGGTCCCATTGGCTCGTCAAGGTCTGTGCCCCAATCTACTTCCGGGGGGGATCCCAACAAGGAGTCCACGGGAGAAACAGGGCGCTCGCTATCTGGAACGCCCCCAATCTCCGGGGAGTCGAGAGGATTGAAGAGCAAAGGGAGAGGCGGTGGCGCTGGATTACCAGGGCTGGGTGGTGGTGATGGTTGAGTAGACGCGCCAGTCCTGAATTCGTCCTTGAAAGGAAGATCCTCCGCATGAGGACGCCTTGCTTGCATGCCCACATCCCCAGGAGTTGGGTCCTTAGTCAAGTACAGCCATGACGACGCTTTGGCGGGTCGCGGTGTCTTATTCTGGGGTACTTCTGCGAAATGTAAGTGTCGCGGACAAGGGAGTCCGAATATTTCGGTCTTCGAGATGGCTCCAGGAAGTATCGGTGCATCGCTCAATAGGATGATTTCCCGATTACGAGATCGGTCAAAGTATGAGACACCGTGGAAGTCAGCGTAAGAACGTCCCACTCTTGTCACAAATAATTCACCCTCCACATTTTTCTCCACCCATTTCTCCCATTTGCCTTTCAGAGGACTCATGACTGGAGGGGGTCGAATCCAAGCTACACGACGAGGGTCCACTTCTACCATATCGAGAGGATCAGCTCCATAGCTAGAGAAGTCCAGCCCTAGTAAGGGGGAAGTACTTGATGCGTGCTGGGTAGGAGGGGTCGGATTAGGAATCACCGCATAGGCAATGGGAGCAGGGCCTCCTCTCGACCATTCTTTATGGAACAGGGAGAAGGAGGCATATAACGCCTCGGGCGGATCAGACGGCTCTTCGTTCCCGATGTTGTCGTCGTTGTCCGATTCGGTGATTATTACCCGTTGCCTACGTAGAAAGGTTTCGATGCGATTGTGGGGGGAGCTTAGATTCTCAATGGGAGTGTTCCGAACGAACGAAGTGTGTTTTGGTCCGCGTCCCGCGTCTAACAGGCGATCCAACTTGTCTCCCATTAACTTATGTACGATGAAGCAAGGGATACGGTGCGCCAGAAGCCAATCAATTTCTTCCTCCTCTTGGCCGTTGATCCAACAACCCATGTACGACTCATCAGCCATTTCGGGGAGACGATTCGTCGATCGAGACCAAGAAGTGGTAGTCTGCTGCCGCTCCACCCAATCTATCCACGCAGCCTTCAATTTGAATTTCCGCTGTAGCAGGGTCACGTCGTCTAGAGCTTTGTCGAAGGATCGTATGGAGCGGAGGTCGCTGATATCGTCTGGCCTGAGGTTAGGATTGTAGAACTTCCATACATCCTCCAAGGTGATTGAAGGGTCACGACGACTGTTGGCTCTAAGATTCTCGATGCGTGCTTCTAAGCGGGAGTTTCGCTGTTGCAGTTCTCGAATGTAGTTGGTGTGGATAGAACTACGCGAGTCCGTAACATCTAAGATGCAGGCGAACTCAGGGCATTCCGATAGCGATGTGGGCACGCGTTTAATATGGGGAGCCCAACTTGGGTGGCCAGTCGCAAACTGAGGCGACACGCACGCGTCAAACCTTCCCAAATGCCCATCGCTTCGCCGGTCAGAACGACGGCTAGCTATGTCGACGCTGAAATGGTCCTCCAACAAGCCGGGTAAGAATGGAAGCTGCTGTGCGTTAGGAGACCACAGTTCCCAAACTTCTTCCCCTAGCTGTACGATCCGATGTGATTGGATTTCAAACTTAGGTAACTTCGCAATCATTCTGGAGTCAACGCATGGCCTAGCAAGGTAGCTGGTTGCGCTGGACCTCCTGGTAGAAGTGACACGCGAATCTGGAGTGGGGCGGTAATTTGAAGCGTAAGAATGCATAGCAATAAAGTAAAGGGATTTAGAGATTGAAAGAATAAAGGAGTGTAAGGATAGTTTCAACGCAGAACAAGCCGCGCGATGGTTACAGAGTGTAAGGATAGTTTCAACGCAGAGCAAGCCGCGCGAAGGGTACAGAAATTAGTTCAACACAGTGAAGCCGCGCGATATTAAAAGATGATGGAAGTAAAGAAGAAGGACGGCGGTGGTTGCAAATCGTTATCCATCAATCAATCACCAAACTAGCGCAAACAGGAATGGGTGGCGGGGTGATATCATCGAGCTTTACAGATTATGGGCTCGTATGTACGCTCTCGTAAGCTCTGGAGCATTGCGGAGGTCGTACTCTGAGACCCATGTGTCGTCTACTGGCTCGTGGCCTTTCCAATGAACTAGGTACATCCGTCGATTGCCCCGTTTTTGCGTAGTTAAACGATGACCAACGATTGACTCGACTTCGTACTCTGGATGTGAGATTAATTCCCTAGTACTAGGCAGGGTCTCCCTTCCTTCGAATCGATCCGGCGAAGAATGGTACTTCTTGAGATGCTCAATGTTGAATACGGGGTGCATCGGATAGTTAGGTGGGAGCTTCAATCGGTAAACTTGAGGATTTATCTGTTCTAGGACCTCAAAGGGTCCAATCGTCCTCTGGACTAGCTTCCGACCTGTACCCTTGACATCTACGAGCTTGAGCGTATGCGGATTGATTAAGACTAAGTCTCCCTTCTGAAGTGTGTCCACGGGGCGTCGGCCCTTGTTATAAGCTGCCGCTTGTCTTTCCTGCGCTAGTACAAGCGCATCTCTGGCTGAAGCGCGGTGGAATTCTAATTCGCCTATGAACTCTTCCGCAGATTGACTAGCCACGAACGGTCTTGAAACCGGGTCTCCTTCGGGGGTAATTCCAACTGTGGAAGTCCGAGGTTTATAGCCCATTAGTAAGAATTGAGGAGAGTAACCCGTGGATGAGTGCACAGAACTGTTGTAGGAGTAATTTAATACACTGAGCCATTTGGCCCAAGACGTGCGATCCGAAGCAACGTACGCCCTCAGCATCTGCTCTATCGTGGCATTAAGGATTTCAGTCTGCCCATCCGTCTGGGGATGATGCGACGACGACAGAGCCATGACACTGCCGTAATTCGCTACTACGGATTTCCAAAACGCAGTGGACCAACGCTTATCGCGGTCGGCTATGATGCGCTCAGGTAAACCATAGACATTGGCTACTCTTTCCGCAAATAGATCTGCAAACTGCTCTTGGCTCATAGTTTCGTG